GCAACCGCGCATTTGCACATTTTACGGTCATGTTTATGGGGCGCCAGTTAATCGATTATGCATGGGCTGAGTGAACAATGCCGGAAATGTGCAAATGCTCAAATGCTGCGCATCCGCTGCCAACCAGCAGCTTTTAGCTTTCTGGCTGGCTGCCTCCGACATCCCTCCCCGCTACCCCCCTCCCTCCCTCCCCCCCTTGGATTGTTGTGGCCCGGGTTATGACGGCTGTTTTTCATTTGGCGTCAAGGCTTTGATTTACCGCCCTTTACTTTAGCCGTAGGTGTGAATTACGGAAATCATTAGCCCCATGGAATGTGCACTAAGTTTTAAAAGGGGGAAGCAGTTCGTTTGCCTCTTCCTCTTCTTCGTCTCGCTATGCCCTATGGGTATACGAATGATATAAAAGGCATATGTTGGGTAAATAACACATATCGAAGGATTACAGCTTGGTTCTCACTAAAGGGTTCATCATTTTACATATCAAGTTTCCTTTTTTTATATTACTCAAAGGATAACCAGGAAACATCGGATAGAAAATCCATTAAGAACACTTTACACCTTATGCTTAGGTTAGGTTAGGTTAGGTTGAGATGAACTAAGCTTAGACTTAGTCATGTGGCAATATCTGAGACTATTTTATTACTATCATAGTTTAGGTTAGGCGTAGATTATGTTTGGTTGAGTTGTTTTTAAGTTAGGTCAGGTTATGTTACCTAACATAACCTTATTTAGAAAAAGTTAGGTTATGTTTGGCAGGTGAGCATGGAGCTAGGATAAAAAAGATTTGATAGTGTCATAGATTATGAGATATAATGGTAACTGGAAACTTCATATATATAACTATTTTATGATGGGAGCAGAAAGAATAGTTGGATCGTATTCTCACATGTTCAAGTCGAAGACCCGTTGAGGAACACTTTACACTAAGCTTAGGTTGGGTTAGATTCGTTTCCGACAAGTTGGGTCACTTCAGCTAAGAGGTTATTTTAATATTATATTAGTTTAGGTTAGGTTGAGAATAGGTTTTTTTAGGTTATGTAAGCTTACGCTAGCTAACCTAACCTTAATTAGAAAAGGTTAGGTTATGTTTGGAAAGTGAAAAACAAGCCAGGATAAATAAAATTTGCTAGATTTCGGTAAGGTTATCCCAGAGAAGCACAGAGAAGTTTAGGGCTATGATGTATAATGCCAGCTGGATTAGATAAGTTGAGTTTAGTTAAGTTGAGGTTAGGTTGAATGAGTTTAGGTGTAGTTGTATTATATTATTTTATTTTTTTAGTACAGTTAAAACTTATGTTTACTTAAAATAATTTTCGTAATCTCATGCCACTTGGCTCAGGGACAAAGCTAAAAACTTCTTCAAAAATCTGCACTCTTCTTCCTTCTAAATGACGCACGGCACAAATATAGCTTAACATGTAATATGAAGGTTATATTTATGTCCGAATCTCATCAGCCGTGACTATTTCATGTCCTTAAGTCTCTTCGTCCTGCTCTCCAATGCTGATTGATATCCGTGACCTTAAGAGCTGGCGACATTCAGCTTGAAATTAATGTGGACTCTGACATAACATGTGAAATGTTGCGTTCCTGCAGCGAAATACATATCGAAGTAGATGCTATAAATATTTCATTGCGTGGCATTACACAGGTTCATATTCAGTTTTGATTTCAATTTCGCAGCAATACGTGTATTTTATGTTGACTTTCAAATTTAGCTGTCTGTTAAAGGGGCGTGGCGGGCAAGGCAGGGGGAGTAGCACGTCGCCTCGCGCATCGCGTCTGCTGTCGCTTCAGACAGGACAACAAAAGTCTATGCATGCTTATCCTTAAAGTTTGTCACAGTTAAATAACAATAAATGTCACACAAAACGCCATAAGCGCGACTGCACACACACACGCACACACACGCACACACTAGCTGATGGCTGCCGACAAGGACATGCACATAAAAGGCAAAAGTTGTCTCTACACCAGCAAAGTCGCATAAAAGTTTCCCTTCGTTCTTTGGCTCCTGGCACTCGCCCGTGCCACGGAGGAGCTGGGCTGCTCGCCTGGTCCTTGGCTCCTGGCTCCTGTCGGCTGGCTGCTGGCTCCTGGCGCCTGGTTCCTGGTTCTTGGCTGTCGATGGGCTCGCTGCCAGCTTCACCTTGGCAACGTTGTCGTATTTTCTTATTGCCTTTTGCTATACCCTCTCCAAGGGTAGCATGAATATGTCTCCAATTGTGCAACGTTGTTCTATTAAAAAAAAAAGGGATATATGTAAATAATTTGAATGTGTGTGTATAACTAGCAAAGCAAGTTAAGATCCTTGCTAAATATATCCATTCATACATACTAAATATCTAAACGTTGATAGATAAATCTATATTCATGAATATGAAAAGATAGTTAGATACATATTCATGTGTATAGTATATAAAGATGGAAGTGCTAAGTACATAAAATCAAAATCCCTGCCACATCAAGCTACTATATCATATAGCTGCCATAGCAAAGATCAGTAAAACATGAAATTCTTATTTTAAATCTTAGGGTTACGAGTTGTGCTAGACTTCTTATACAATTCCAAGAAATTGCATCAGTATATTGCAACAGTATATCATAAAGCTCTATATGAGGAAACGATACAAAAAGTTAGTTTCTATTTAAGGAAAACGTCTATTTCTCAAAATACTTGTCTCGATGCAATCTCCACATATATCTCAGGGAAAGAAACGTTCGAGCCTCAGGCTTATGTATACAAACGCTGCTCTGCCTGATAAGTGCAAGGGTATTTCATCTTCGGTGCGCATAGCTAGCAGTTTTTTTCTTATTTTCTTTTTTTTTTGGCGACTGTAAGCCTCTGAATGAGGCACGTCATAACTTTGCCATAAAACAGCTGACAACTCCAACGCAAGGATATAAAGATGCCATCATCCATGCCCCATTCCATATGTGTGTGTGTGTGTGTGTGTGCGTGTGTGTATGTTATGTTAGTTGTTTCAGTGGCTTAATGTGCTAAACAACTGCGTAGCTGAAGGACAAAGGAATTGAACATGCGCCAAATTTAAGCAGTTCACCGAGTCAAGGAATCAAACGACTGACAGCTAAATAAATAGTTCGGATATCCTTAATGCCAGTGCTCTGGGTATTACTTGTCTAGTTTATTGAGTTTCTTATGCATTTAACCCCAAATCGTATACCCTTTGGCCGACAGAGCTGTGGCTTCGTCTAGACCGAGACGAGCTTCCAAGCAGACAATAAGATATATTCTATTTTGAATGTTTGCCCGGTTTGAATCAAGAATTGTAAGCTAAAAGCGCCTCAATCCATTGAAAATCGAAAAAGCGGTTAATTAATTGAGTGCATGCAGCAGAAGCAGCAGAAGAAAGCATCTGCAACCCTATATAGTATAAATATTCTTGGCCGAGTCGATCTAGCCACGCCCCTGAGCCTGACACCATCGAACTCAGAAACTACCTGAGCTAGAGACTTGAAATTTTCAATATATATATCCCATATTATAAGCAAAAGGAACTCATTATATAATTTAAATACCTACTCCCATTATTGTAATATCGATAAATATCGATTTTGAGTTTCCTAGGCAAAGCTCGAAGATTATAAGAGCTAGACGGAATAAAGGTGCTCGTGTAGCATATACAGATCATATGTAGGAATATTTCAGTTTTTGTATACATCGCAAATCGAATTTGAATAAAACTGCAAATATTGCTCTTCTATTTCCAGCAGTAGGATGAGAGAGTAAGACCCAAAGCATACGGCACTCAAATATATTATATTAGAAGAGATGTAGACGATGTTATATACTACTTGGTAATAGCCAAGCCGAGTTTATCTTCTCAACATGTACAGTGTATTTACAAGTCGATCAGCTTGAGCTGATGCAAAGTACATAAAGTGTTGTAAGCCCTATTTCATTGTGCCATTCATTTGAATTTGAGGTAAAGCCACATGAACGAACACCAAAAGAGCCGGCTGCATACCATATACAACAGTTACTTTCACCGGGCCTGCCCACTTTTCAACCGCCCACTTTTCACCCGCCCACACACACATACACATTGTTCTGATTATGTATGTATGGGCATGCATACAGGGAAATCAACTTAAGCGAAACAGGAAGTCGACATTAGAATATTTAAGATGAGCTTCTCTTAAAGAACATTTCAGCAGCGAAATTTTCCAAGCGCACTGTGGGGCAAAAACGAAGAGAAAAAGCCAATATATATAAGCGTAACTATATATATCTCGATATATAGATATATCTATCGTGATATTATAATATATATCTTGATAAACAAAAAGGTTAAGTGTAAATAAATATCTTAACCAATATTTCCGCTCAGCGTCGTGGAATTTGGCAACGGGTGAAACACATCTCAATTTTTCAAATTGTCCATTTTGAAGCCAATCGGACGATAGTAAAATATTTGCCCTTACAACATCTCGCCCTCAACCAGAGGATCGATAGATATTTCACAAAGTATAGATATTGAAAATAAAATTAAGAAAGCAAGTTAAACGAGTTAAACTTTCTGTTGAATTACCAACAAGTGGCATGCAACCATTTTTCATCTACATTCCGCACTTGTGGGTGGAAATGCGTAAAACGGAAAACAACAAAGTGACATATTACAATTTGCCACCTATGTTCCGCATTTGTGGGTGGAAATGAGCCAAGCCAACATGTGTTATATAACCGTTTTTCACCTATATTCCGTACTTATAGGTGAAAACGAATCCACATATATTCCGCGCTTGTTGGTGAAAATACACACAATGAGAACTGCCATTGGTTCTGGCTGTGCCTTGATCAGTCAGTCAGTCAATCAGTCAGTCAATCAGTCAGTCAGTCAATCAATCAGTCAATCAGTCAGTCAATCAGTCAATCAGCCCAGCTGTCAGTCAGTTGGAGACACCAAATGTATAGCTCGATAGGCAGAGTTCGTTGGATTAGCTGTCATTGGGCAGCTGCCTTGCGAATATTCTCATTTCTAGAAAGATTGCTCAACAATACAAACGTTCAAAATCAAAGGGAATAAAAATAGCTAAGCGTCACATGTAAATATTAAACGTAGTTCCAAAATTTTAAGCGTAATACGACAATAAACAACAGTCTATACAAACGATTCCCCAGCTACATTTAAAATAAGATATTGAAAAAAAAAAAAAACAACAACAAACAAATCAAAAACAAAAACATTTGCTAAATAAAATCCAGCAGCAGCTATGAGCGATTCGCAGCGTCAGGTGAAAATGGTGGCCGAGCAGGCGCTCGCCAGCCTGGTGGAACGGGCCAAGCGTTTGCAGCTGACCAGCGTTTGCGTTTCCATGCAGCACCACGACGACGAGGATGGGTCTGAGGAACTGGGCCAGAGGCAGAGGCTGGAGCAGAAGGAGCATTTGCGCGTGGGCGAGCAGCCAGTGGAAGCGGAGCCGAATGTGGTTGTTGTCAATTTGAAGAAATCGAAGCGCAGCCCACCTGGTGCCGGCATCCAGCGTGCGATTGCTGCCACCGGCAGGAAGTCGCGTAAATTTGATTTGGAGCCATCGCCGCCGCCGCCGTCACCGCGTGAGCTGTGCCTGATCGCCGAGCTGAGGGATGAGTATAATCAGACCGATCAGCTGATTGAACAGATGCTCACAGATGCCACAAGCCTCGGCCACGAGATGATCAACTGCTCGCAGATCCAGCGCGATTTGTCCTTGGTCCAGGAAATCGAGCTGGAGACAACGAAACGTTCGCTAGACACACTATTTGGTGCCCTCACCGCCGAGCTGGAACGCAACGATCTCACCGAGCTGATGCAGCGCTGCGACAGCGCCCTGGAGCGCAGCAAGGAGCGTCTGGTCAAGAATGAGCCCACAATCGAGACCAGCTGGAGCACAATCAGCGAACAGTTTGTCGCGGCCGAACTGCCGCCCAGGGCCGCCCAGCCGGACGATCAGCCCAGGGAGCCGGGCTCTCAGGATTATGCCGCATTACCGTTTCTGGCCAAGCACGACTAGCTGGCGCCGCGGGTATGCCCAACAAATCAGCACATCGATATTTTTTCTACATTCAAATTGTCGCTAACAATCAATAAATGTCTCGTTGCACTGTAAAGCACCCAAAGCAGCCAGCTCCTGCGCCAGTTCATCCTGCCGTTGACTGAGTGCAGATTCCACCTGCCAGCAAAAGCAAACTTTTCTTGTTAAGCTCGTCGACTGAATGGCAAATGCTGCACCGCCCCCGGCAGCCACAGCAGCAGCTGCAGGCATTGGCTTCAGCACCTGTCTTGGCTTCGGCTTCCACTCTGACTCCGGCTGCGGCTGTGACTCCGCCTTCTCCTCCGCCTCCGCCTCCGCCTCTGGCTTTGGCTCTGGCTCATAACTAATTACCGCCTTCATCGCAGCATTGCTGGAGCATCTCGAAACTTTTAAATTGAGTTGCGTGTCATAGTCAAAAAGTTTGCCCCCATCAATTTGCCACCCTCTAGTTTCCACTAACCCACGCCCCAACCCCGCCCCGCTTCCTTTGCCATAACCAAGCTTGGCTGCTGCTCTTCAAACTGAATACGTGATATCCCTGGTTGCCACAATAAATCAACTTTGTCAAATTATATACATAACACACATATACATATACATATATATATATATACACACACGCGCGCGCAGTGTGTGTGCGTGTGTGTGAGCCGTAGCGTGAATACACTCAAATAAACTAATGACTCCCAACTTTTTATTCCACATACTCAAAATAAAACAGCAGCGCGCCAGTCGGCAATGCACGACCAAAAGATACCCTGTAAACGGAGCCAAGCTCAGTAGACAACACAAAACACACACACTCGTCGCTTGCTGTGCTTCCTCTTGCCTGTCCCACACACTCTGGGAAATGCAGCCTTGAAAAACATCGGAGTTAAATGTCGACTTTTATGAATTTTTCAGAAAGCAAAAGGATCTGGCTTTCAAAATTAGTTGTTTTTTCTTTTTTTACAGGGTATGGGCAGAGGCATCCAAAAAATGAACTATTCCCAATATATATATACTACACGAGAACCTATAAACCAAGTTCGGCGTGTCTAGCTCTTATAATCTTCGAGTTCTGCCTGAAAAACTATAACTCAAAATCGATATTTATCGATATTACAATAATGGGAGTAGCTATTAATATAATATAATGGGTTCCATCTGCCTATAATATAAGATATATATATGTTAAATTGCAAGTCTCTAGCTCAAGAGGTTTCTGAGTTCGATGGGAACAGGCAGCCGGGCGTGAGTGCATCGACTCTATTGATGCTGACAAAGTATATTTATACCTTATAGGATCGGAGAAACCTTGAACCTACGAGAATATATATTTAGTTAATGTCAATTATCTAGAACTTGTAGTTTTCGAGATCAACGTCTTGAATTGATATAGCTGGATCATCCTGATAAGGTATATATATATACTTATAGGGTTGCAGATGCTTCCTTTTGCCTGTTGCATACTTTGACACAACCATTATACCCTTCTGCCCCTTTTCAACGGGTTCAGGGTACAACAAGGGTATAATTAAGTTGCGATAAAAATGCATAACATGTTTCCAGGACAATGAGAAAAAACCTCATCATATTTATGAAGCTTAAAAATAAACTCAAAGGATTTGTTATTTATCTACGTCATCAAAATATTAAATATGCATTATTTTCAAGCACATTTAATCAAGACGACGAACCGGTTTGAGCCAGGACTTCCAAACTTCGGGCTTACCTTAACCTTAAACCGGATTTCTTTTAGAAAAGGTAGAAACTAAGTTAAAAAAAAAAACTGGTTCGAATCCAGGTTCGCGAACCTAACCTCAAAGCAGGACATTGGTTTGAACCGTGAACTGAACCACCGAAAGTTTTGCCCCGTTACGTAACGTATTGCATCTAACGTAACGTAGTGTATCTTGTCTAACGTAATGCATATAATATATAATATAACATTAAACTAAATAAATAACATTGACTAAACTCGATCGATAATAATCGATAATTGCTGATATCCCTGAACGATTATTGTCAGAGATATCTAAAAATACATAATAGCATGAATTGGACGACAACATTTTGATTAAACATGAACTACATATAAATAAATATGTATATATAATAGTTAAGCGTACATATTTTATTCATTAAATTACCATATAACAAAAATGGAATTAGAAATAAAACAGGGATAGATCAATTTGTTTTCAGCTTGGCCTGAGGTATCGCACTGTCCCGACGCTTCGCCAGCGCCAGTGTCCAGCAGATAATCCAAAGCGGCAGGAATACGGTGCAAATGGCAAAGTAAAGCCAATTGCCATAAATCTATAAAGCAAAGTGAATAAATTAGGAAATCATTTATAAATGTTACGTTTAGATACGGCACTCACCACGGAATCGATAAGCGCAAACGTGGCCGCGTCCATGGCAGCTGTGGCGGCACGCAGCAGCAGTTGCTGCAACGTCAGCTCGGGAAATTGATAGAAGCTCATGATCAAAACAATGATATAGATGACCACAAGCGGATTCAGGAGCAGCGTCCAAGCACGCGTCAGGCTGCGCAATGTGCTATTTGCGCTACTTGTTGTATTCAGGGCAATCACCATGGGCGTTGTTAGGACCGCCACAAAGAAGCCCAGCGAGAAGTTGAGCAGGCCAATGACAATCAGTGCGCAGCCATAGATGAGCAGCAGGCTAATGTGTAGCAGCTCCAAGGCACCAGGCGGCAACACCACCACGAAAGGCAACCCAAACCCAAGCACATTCAGTACAATCAGTATGCTGGCAGTTAGCGGAGCGGCGCTCACAGGCAGCTCCAGAATGTACTGATGTAGCGGCAGCACATTGCCCACATAGCCGATGAACAACGCGACAGCCAAATAGATTAATACCGAACCATAAGGCAGGGACAACTTTATCGACTCCAAGCCAGACGGCGTCTCAGTCTTGGGATTAGCATCATCAGTCTTCTGTGTCGCCTCCAGTGTGGACCATGTGAGATAAGCCTTTATAACGCTGCAGGCGGCAAGCGCCACCAGAGCGGGCATATAATCGCCAATGGAAATATAGCGATCGTTGTGCACAATCACATAAAAGAAGAAACTCTGGTGAAAGCGTTCCAGCAGATTGTTGAGACTGCGCGCAATCCCCTCGATGGCCTTTAATAGCGGCACGGCCGCTGAACTGGGATTGGTCTTTACGTTGGAATTGGTAACACGCTTGGCAGCGGATATGGTCAGTGCATCGATGCGGTAACGATGGAAGAGTCCATGATTACCATTGGGCACGCCCGATGATTGTGTCGAGAGCATGGCCAGTATTTGGCGCAGATTCTGCTCATAGTTTGAAAGGCTGGAACGGCGCTTTTTGCGCGGCGTCTGCTTATAGCCTGAGGTGACGCCCTCACGCGCCATTATGCGCTGCACCAAATTGAACATATCCAGATTGGGCAGCTTGCCGTTCAAGCCCTCAATCTTGACATCAATGTAATCTGCATGAAAACTAGGTAATTAATTGATTCTCCAAGCAATTAAGAGATGCCACCGACCAATTTCGAAGTCCTGCACCTCGATGTTTAACGCAGCTTGCAGGGAACCGGCGCGTGCTGGCAGATTTCCAGCCAGCAGATACGAATTAGTACTGTCTGGATCTCTGTCACCCTCATGGTAGGCCTCCAGCCAGGCCTGCATGCCCAGCTGCTCCTGCTCGGTGACCAGGAATATCAAATCCTTGGCCCAATAGTTTTTGCCTGCAATACAATGCTGTTAACCACCAACTCCAAAATGCAACAACTTCTACTCACGCCTTGCGAAATCCGCAAAAGCCAATAGCAGCGGCACGCTGGACGTTATGTCCACATGCACCGAGCTGGGCGCACGATAGGGCGCCGAGAAAACAATACCCTCGGTGGAACCAATGCGCGGCGCACGCAATATACCATAAACGTTCTTGCCATGAAACTCCTTACCGCCACCGAATGGATAGAGTAGCGTATAGTTGTGTGTGTGCGTCTCCAGGCCAAACTCTTTGAACTTGGCCAGAATCCAGGCGTGCGGCGTTGTGGACTGATGATCCTTGCGCTCGCGCTGCAATTCCTCCAGCAGCTGCACGGCCAAACGATTGGCGTCTATGCGTATCTCGGGATACACCAGACCTACAAGCACCAACAGTTTGTTAAAATAACAAAAAGAAACAGTTAACTAACTCACCTGGCGACAACGCATTCTCTGATAAGTAGGTGCCATGGTTGAATTCTGGCAGGGCGAGGCACATAAACCAGATGACGCCCGCTGTGTAGAACGCATAGCAGACCTTGCGCATATGCTTCGCCAGATTGTCCACCAGCTTATTGTGAGTCGACAGTGATGGATCAGACAACAAACCCATGGTTCCAGGCAATAGTTTCCACAAAACAATAGCAAACCAAGTTTAGCCGGCACAGCTAGGGCTGACACTCCTCAGCCTTTACAATCGATAGTTAGCTCTGACACGCTTCAAGTATCGATAGCAGCATTTGGTATTTCTTATGCATTAATTAGAGCTAGCAAAGATTTGTAGCTGTAGCCAAATTATATAAAGCTACATATGAGCTAAAATATAATTATATTTCTATATCATATATATACTATGCAAATTTGCGTATGCCATATTACTGTGCGATAGGCGATAAGCCCTCTAAACGATATGGTTAAATATATCGATATTTCATCATTGGTCTTTCGCCGATATTTTCATGATACAGTTGAGTTTCCAATTGAAATTATGCCTATTAGACACAAGTCAATGGGGTTAATTTGCTTGGCCTTTCAATTTGTTGCCGCCGTATGTATTTGATCAAATATGCGGGCATATTAACACTAGAAGCTTCTAAAGCGACAAATCAAAACCAAATGATAAATTTAATTGACTACTTTTTTGTTTAGGTTTTAATTACAGTTTGTCAATTTGCTGTTTTTTTTTTTTAATATTTTTATTAATTGCTTAAAATCGATTCGGATTCAAAACTTAATTACCATAATCGCGATTTCAATAGACGTACCTCAAATCAACACTCTATAAGAAGTTTTGGTTTTTCATGCTTGTTAACCTCAATTAATGTAAAGACTACAAAAAAAAAAAAATAGATTTGTTTAAAAAAAAATTACTTAAGCATTAAATTGTCTACAATAGTACACTCATATCATGATCATATCGGGAACAATACGCGATATTTTGGCAATGCAAAAAAAAAAAAACAAAAAAAAAATTATAGAGTATAGATAAATTTAAAAATAAGTGCTGCCGTCTAGCTATTGGAGCCGCTGAAGCGGCGGAAGAGGCGCATGTGGCTTCCAGTTGAGATAATTCAAATCGATGGTCAGCTTGGGTCGCTTGAACTGGGGCAGCTGCAGGTGATCGTTGATGGTCTTGGCCGTCACACAGATGACATTCTGGCCCTTCCAGTATTTGATCATCTTCATGGATTGCAGGGTATAGATGATGTCGTCGGGCGTAATGCCGCTGGCTTCGCTCAGCTCCGCTATGCTCGTCTGTTCCGCCGAGCAGCGTCCCTTCATCAGCTCCAGCAGCGTATAGGCCCAATAGCTGCGATAGCTGAGCCTACCCAGATCGGAGAGCGGCTTCTCCGGGCTGCCAATGACGCCCTCCTTGCGCGACAGCTCATAGCTGAAGGCAATCAATAGCTTGCCATAGCCCTTGCGCTGATGCGGCGGCAGCACCAGAATACAGGCCACATTATTGTTCTCGAGGGAACGCTTCTCCTTGGAAAAGTAGCCAACAATGTGGCTGCCCATTTTGTCGGTCTCGCAGAGCACATAGAAATAAAAGGGATCCATGTCGAAATAGAGCACCTTATGGTCGAGAAACAGTTTGGCCATCAGGCACAGCAGCTGGCAATAGAGCGGCTGATCCTTGCCGTTCACCTCGAATATGGAGATTGTGCTCTTGCGATAGATCTCCTTGCCCGGCGGCCGGCGCACCTCGCACTCGCCCAAATGATACTTGTAGCTCCGCTCCAGACGCATGTATTTCAGGCAATATTCGCACACGTACAGGATGCGCGCCTTGCCGTACTCACCCGGAAAGGGACTGAAGTACCAGGTGTCGATTTCATAATTGCCAAATTGTAGCTTATCAATGTATTTGATTTTCGTGATGAACTCGTGCTCCTTCTCGAGCGCCGCCTGCGAGGCGCTTAGCTCCGCATGGCTCTTCTGCACATGGTTAATCTCATCGTAGCGTCGCTTCTGGTAGCGTGTCATCTTCCGGTCGCTGTAATCGTACCGATTGTTCTCGCATGCGGACAAATAGTAATCCTTGTGCCCCTGTCGCTTGCGTCGCATCATGCTGCCGGAGCTCTGCTGGCTGTTGGCGCTGCTGCTGCTCGCGCTTGCGCTGGCGCTGGCGCTGGCGCTGGCGCTAGCACTGGCGATGGCACTGGCATTGGCACTTGTGCTGGGCTGATCGCAGGCCAGCAGCTCGGCTGGCTCGCTGGTCACCGTTATGCCGCCGAGGTCCTCCGCATTGTCCGATATGCGATGCCGGCCAACCCATTCGTCGAGGCGTCGATTCAGGCCCACATAGTGCACATAATACTCGTTGGGACTGACGCAGTTGTCGGTGACGCGCGACTGCAGCACCTGGCCGGCGTGCACGGTGCCATCGGCGCGCCTTATATAGTAGATCTTTTCCGGATTGTCGCTGATATCGAGTTTATCTATCGAGGGCTCACCGTCATCGGTTGTCTCCGTTGCGGTTACCGTTTCGCCCGATGTACTATCCTGCTCCACCAATATGACATCATCATCATCGCTCTCGTCGCTGCTGCTGCTTTCGCTGCTGTCGCTGTCGTCCTCGTCCTCCTCCTCGCCTTTATCCTCATCGCCCTCATCATCGTCGTCGTCTTCGTCGCTGCTGCCGTCCTCCTCATCCTCTTCGTCATCGCCCTCAACGCTGCTGTTGTCCTCCTCGCTGCTGCTCGAGATGCTCTCGAATTCGTCTAGCAGCAGGGGCGGCTGCATTTGCGCCGCAACCCTTTGTTGTTGTCGCTGTCTCTGCTGTTGCTGCAGTTGTTGTTGTTGGCGTTGATGCATTTGTTGCTGTTGCTGCAGCTGTTGGTGTTGTCGTTGCTGTAGTTGTTGTTGTTGTTGCTGCTGTTGCAGTTGTTGCTGTTGCAGTTGTTGCTGTTTCAGTTGTTGCTGTTGCAGTTGTTGCTGTTGCAGTTGTTGCTGTTGCAGTTGTTGTTGTTGCTGCTGTTGTTGTTGTTGCTGCTGCTGTTGTTGTTGGGCCAGTTCTGCGGCGAGACGCTGGTGATCGTCGGCGTGCACGGATATGTAGCGTCCGCGCTTGTAGGGCGGCAGCAGATCGATGGGCTCCTCGCCATCGTCTGTCGGCGATTCGGGCGTTTCGGGCACTTCCGCTGGCGCAACCATTTCCGTTTCCGCTTCCACTTCACCTTCGATCTGCATTTCCGCCACGTCCACTGCCTCCTCGATGCCCGTTGCCGTTGCCATTTCCGCTTCCGCATCCGCTTCCATTTCAGTTATTGGCTGGCCCTCAACCTCCATTGGCTCTTCGCCTTCAGGCAAGGCTTCCGCTACCACCTGTTCAGTTTCCGCTGCTTTGGCTGTCTCCGTACCGGATTCAGCAACGTTTTCCACATTTTCAGCAGTCGGACCGCAGCTGTAGTCATCGTTGCCGGTCAAATCGCTGACATCGACCACGGTGGTGGGCGAAGCCTCGTCGTCCGAGTCATCGCTGGCATCGTCGGAACGTACTGCGGCCGACTCGCCGCTGTGCTCACCGCTGCTTGAACTACTCGCGCTGCTGTTCTCCTCCTCCTCCTCCGACACGGGACTATGGTGAGCGCCCAAGTACGTTTGAGGTCGAGGCGGCATCGGCATCGCCACCGGCACCGGCACTGGGACCGGCACTGGAACCGGCACCGGCACCGTTTCGTCTGTTGTATCACATAGCTCCGATGCGGCACTCGTTTCATGCGACCGATCTGCCCAGCCCTCATCCCCGTCTGAGGGCTCTGTCGAGCCGCTAATGTCCAGGCTAGCATTCAGCTCGGCGGCCGCATCATCTACCGGCGTTCGTGGCGGCTTGGCGCCAATCGCATATGGATTTTCTTCGTCCTCCAATGCGGCACCATATTCACGTTCTTTTAGTTCCTCGGTGGACATTTTAATTAAATGCTTTTCACCGTGAATGTGTCCAATAGCTTAAATGAAGTATTATCCATTTGTTTTGCTACGCAAAAAAAAAAAAAAAACAACACTAATTTTATAGCATAGCGATGGTACTGTACCAAGCCATCGATATATCGCCAACTATCGATTGCAGTTTCAATTAAGTAAGCAACGCACATGTCAATTAAATATGCAAATAAATAACATTCTTATAAAAATTACAATTGAAACGTAATTGTAGTTTATATTTTGAAAGTAATTTGCATTTCTATTGCGCCAAATTTGCGTTTGACATGCGACCTTTGAACAGCAATAACCAGAGCAGTGTTGATCAATGCCAAACACATTTTTGGCGCAAATTTGTACAGCTGCACATGTTAACAAATAGATACACTGCCATAAAAAAATGTGCACGTACGAATAATGATAACTGTATCTATTTATTTATGAGCGCACATTTAACATTTAACAGAATTAACACGTTTTTGACGTTTAAAAAAACAATTTGTACATACAATAGATATAAATATATATATACCTCATACATATGTGGTTAAGTTAATTAGGGACGATTCCTTATAAAATATAGTTTTTTGTTGTTTTGTTTTTTTTTTTTTTATAATTATCACAAAATCAAAGAAATTATATGTTATATTATATCTCAGAAATCACCAGAAAATTCAATGCGTTTTAAATCTTTTAAATGATTCGAAATGGCGAAACTCGTTGCTTTAAATTATTGTCTTAAAAATAGAAATATATCGTTAGTTTAAGGGAGTTCGAACCAGAAGCTGGCGCAATTTCTAGAATAAACCTAGAACAAAAAAAAACTGAATGAGAAGGAAATTACAATTGGTGGATTGTCTGGAAGTTAAACTGCCATGACTTTGTTTACTTCTGTTCTAAATATGTACTTAGTTACTAAATAAATGTGGAAAAATATAACAAAATGCATATATGTTATTGTATAATGTAAATTTCTTAAGTTGAAGCCAAGTGTTTTTGGTTGGAATTCGCATAAATGTCTTGGTTACAATTCCATTAATAGGCTATTTATGATATTAGCCCAATTCAAATGGGATACTTGAGTGTAGATAAATGTCATACATACATACAATGGGGTGCAGTATGTGCGTGCTGTAAACAATTAACAAGTAAAACAAAGAACAGATATCTATATATATATATATATATATATATATATATATATATATATATATACATAGATATGTGTACATATATAGTGGGTAAGGTAAATGCTAAGCCATAGAGGGAACTACTCGTAAGCGTGCCATCGACAAGCTAAGCGCAAATACACTTCAAATTACATTTAAAATAAATAATTAACTAATTTACATTCATATCTTTAGCTGATACATATATCTGTATATACATGTACAAGTGCAACTGCGCGAGAATTATGCCTGCAAACTGGCTCCGCTGGCACCGCTGGCACCACCAGCATGTCCATTGCCGCCCGCATTTGTATCGGGGCTATCGACGTGGATAAAGCGCCGCATGAACTGACTGCATAGATTGTGATAATCAATCGTGACGTTGGATTTGCTGGTGCGCAACAGAATACGGCCAAAGATCGCAGCTGGAGTGATAGGGAATTCAATTAGTTGTTGTTTTAATGCAGCATTTGCCACATTCTGTCAACGTACCGACATTGTTTGCCTCGTAATCGTGGCGTTCGATACCCTCGCGCAGAAACATGCACAGATGCATGAACACATTGCGCTTGGGTGCGCTCAGCAGCGCTATCAGCTCCATAGCCTCCGACTTGCTTCTGCTGTGCAGCAGATCCTCGACAAATGGCTCCAGCAGCGCCTGCTCTGGCAGGTCAAGCAACAACAATAGCGCTTCGGCCGCAGTTTGTGGTGTGCCCGCTGTAAATGCAACACATCAGTTAAGCACAAATCTATCTATGAATATCTATATATATATATATCTATATGAAACTGGAAACATACGAAACTCATCCTCAGACCAGGTGTCCAGCCAGTCACGCACGGCATTGAATTGACTGCTGAGCGGCTGGCGGCGATCATAGCTCTGGAAAATGCCCTTCAGCTGGTCACCTTGCTTGTGCAGATAGTCGATAAGCAGGAAAAATTCACGTGGCATTGTCACACGATACTCGGGCGTCACGTCAACCATCTAGAAAAATGAGTAAAGTATTAGATGGATGGAGCTCAATTCCTTAAGTCGAAACAAATAATATATTATTTAACTTATCAGTGTGGTAAATTTCGATTAATCCGTAAAACACATTTCATATGAACCATTTTTAAAATAGAGTTCAACAAACAAAACGCAAGCAAATCTTATTTTTTGACTATTAAGTTATATGACTTAATATTGACAAGGTCTTAATTGTATGCGGGTTAAATCTATATACTGCCTGGCTCAGAAGCTCGATAAAGAAAGATTGAAACAGTCACAAGTAGACGGATCTAGAATATATATATATATTGTATATGGGGACGGAGATGTTTTCTTCTATGCGTAACACATTTCATGAACAATTTTTAATACCCTCTACAAGAGATGGCCATTGGATATATATTTGTGAAATCTGTAAGAAAAAGTCTACGTAGCTAATAGATGTTTCAAAATGCGCTATAAGGGATATACTCCTACATTCTATCGAGCTGAACTATTGATTAGCTGTTTTCACCCATTTTCCGCGCTAAGAGGTGAATTGAAACTTTGCTTAAAGGCCAATAGAGCTGGAATATCTTAACTGCCCAGCTTCCTATAGGTTTATATTAAAGTTAACAAGGGTTTATAGATTACCAGCTGCTTGATTTCGTCCTGCTTGTACTCGCCGACCGGTCGATTGGTGCGGCACATTGTCTCCATTGATAGACCAAAGCAGCTGGGCTGATATTCGCCCGTGACGGTTATGAATATATCCCGTCCGGATCGGACATGCAGTATAAGTATATCGAAATCGCATTTGCCGGGCGTATTGCAAATCTTATGAAGCAGGCCCGTTATCGAAGTGGGATCGACCAGCATGCGTACGCGTATGCTGCGCGCCGAGTCAATCATTAGGCTGTCCGATTGCGGATCCACATGGAGCCACTTTTCGCATATGTCATTTGGCGAATCCTTGACCTTAAACATAAAGTCCACCTGCTGCGGGCAATTGTTGTACACATTAAAGTCCCGCATGGCCGGCTCATTGAAGCGCACCAGCCCGAACTCAATGATGGTGCGCTCTGTGATGATCTGCGGCTGATTGTCATTCTCACGCTTGTCAACCGCCTTCAGTACCTCGCTCAGCACCAGCTTATATTTGGCCTCGTCGCGCGTCTTAATCTTCACACGGAATATGGCATAGACGGGCTTGTGATCGCTCTGACGTATCTCCATTACACTATTATAGGCCAGCTGCTCGATGCGTTTGCCCTTCCACAGCACGCGATCGCAATAGGCTGGCGCACGCTGTTTCTCGCTCGTGTCATAGGTATCGGTGCCCACATCGTATTTGTATGTGGGTGCAAATTTAATCTCACCCTCCCTATAGCCCTTGAAGCACCTGTCATGGCTCATCTCCGTGCGCAGCTGATCGTACTGTAGCAGCAGCTCAAACGTTTGGGCATCGTTCATCGGGCCAGGCCGCTGTTGTCCAGTCGGTTCCTGTATGCGATAGTTCAGATCGCCCAGCCAGAAAATATGACTGCAATTAAAGGAGCAAGTTAAGAAAGTTTCTCAGCATTACTGATATCCCGAAACCATAAAATATACACACATAATCGACGAGCTGTCGCAAACTTTTAAAGACTTGAAATTTAAAATATATATTCGTCTTTTCCTTACACAGAACAAGTTTACCAGATATTGTCGATATCTTCTCTCAGTTCCACAATATCTATATTGATTTTAAGACCTAGCTTTTTGAGCATAGCTCGAAGATGGTGTATAGATTCTCATAGAGCATACTGATATGAAGAAAGCTTCATTCTTTAGATATCTTCCTTCATATTCCCCCAAAAGTGAAGAAAGCCTCACATTTGAGGGTAAAACCTCGCGATTTGATATGCTCACACTTTCGTTAACCATATTTAAGCCCTCAAAATGTCATAAAGAACGGACAATTATCACCCAAGTTACTCTAGAATGCTTTGCGTCTAGCTTGTGTATTTTATGGCGCTGGGTTCCGGGCATCCGCTAGCTTGTTGCACTTACTCATGATCGTTGATGGTGCGACAGAGCAGGCCATTCTCCTCAAAGCGCATGCCATCCTCAATGGCCTTGTAGTCATCGTTGCGCTCCGCCACGTAGGTCATGTGCGCGGCCAGATGCGAGTTGACGAAGCATATCTTAGCCTCGTTCAGCTGAAAGCTGACGGCAACGCCGCCCTTATTGCCCAGCGCATTGAACATGCCGCGAGCCACAGAGTTCACGCGACAGCGCACAATATGCTGACGCACCTCCTTGCGGACAATAACTGTCAGCATAATGCCAGAGAGACGCACCGATTGCAGCTCCTCATACTCGACACCATCGTGCACGCTCTCCACCATCTTGCGTCTGTGGAAAAAGAGTCAAGAGAGTCAACTGATTAATAGACAGAAATACATATATTCGAAGCATGTCGAACATGTCATTGTAGTACAGGCTAACCCTTGCAACTATTTAAAGGCATATCTATGGATACAACTTTGGAATTCCATCCATGAAGGCCGGAAAATGGATGCAAAACTATTGAAAACTTTTTGTTGTTTTTGTATTCGCTGGGTTTTAGCCCATTTTTAAATGTCAGGTATCCCACTGCCTCAAGTTCTTATGCGCTCAGATCCGATCAGCTTCTAAATCACAAGAAAATGAATCAATTTGTTTCATCAAGAAATAAGTGGAAGAGAATAACACAGGCACTCTCGGATAATGCCAGCCAGTACATACATATATAAAAGCAGACAGATTGACTATCATAAAAACATGGAGCTTATTCCACGTAAAGGGTGGGAAAAGAGTGATAAACTATATAGAACTTAACTTAAAAAAACCGCTCCGATTGGCATTAAAAGCAGAAGATTTCAGGGTTGTGGAAAATGGGAGAGAAAAAGGTCAGTTACATATTGAATAAACGGACTTGGACTAGGACAGCTAACATCTAACAGGAATAGCTCGTTTCATAAACCATGTAATGCCGTACTGCTCACATCTATGACAAGCTGCAGGATTGATAGCCAGTTAAATACAAGAGACGGTCTACATGCTGAGTGAACACTTACATCCATTGCGCTGCATACATTTGCATCTGATTGCCATTGAGCATGGCCTTGGCCGTGGTATCCAGCTCCTGGAGTCCAATGGCATAGATATCGGGCGCCTTCTCGCCGCTTGCCAGCCAAGGGCGCAGCGAATTGTTGTTATCCCAGCAGGGTCTATTATTAACGTTCCATGTGGCGCAGTAGACACTGTGAAGGTGCAAAATGTTAAATGGCATGAATCAGAGGATTGATTTGAAACAATTGTCAGGCACACATACATAATATCCTTGTAGACAATGTATTGGCTTTGGCGCTTCTTTAGCTCCTGCTTGACTTCGCCAATCTCACGGTAATCGTCGAGCCAACGAAAATTGAGCGTCGTTTCCGACGGCAATTCGGCCTCCCACATGGCTTTCTTGCAGGAATTGATTTTCGCACAGAATTCATTAAAATCGACCGCACTCAAGTCCGTTCGTATCGGATGATAGTAGTATTTGCTTGGCCTGTCATCGTCCGTTGACAGATCGAATTGCTGCTCCGATATGGAACCCTTGGTATCTGTAAAGCTTACAACATATGCAAAGTTACTGTGCACGCACACAGGTGTGGTTCGCACCTACCCGTCGTCAATTGAAATGTCTTATTTATTGGAAATACTTTGTTTATTTTCAGCTCATTGCTTGCGGTCAACGGGGTGCGCAGCAGGGAGAACGAGATCAGCGCGTAGGTGCCGCCCGATGCCGAGGAGACCAGCGTTAGCAGACCCTCAAAGTGCTCCTGGCCCCTGATTTGATATGCCTCGAAGATCTGAAAACCGAACAGAAAGCAATTCAAATAATATTCCAATTACTTTTTTTTTATACTCTTTTCAAATTGATTCTGGGCAAAACGTTTGGCAAATTGCTCCAGCAAAAGGTAAACAAAGCCATATTATTGTGCTCAATATTGAACCTACTTAGTTTTGTTTTGTTTGCAAAACAAACAAATGAATATCAATTGAGTATTTATGAATTACATGCTAAGTGTGCGCCCAAAAGCTGCATACCCGGCTTGCGCAAACAACCGGTAAAAAGGTATGCCATTCAGAGTACATAGCAGAGACTAGACTGAGCTTGGCATGGTCACCCTGCCAAAGCTGTGTGCCCAGCTGGTGATACATAAGCAGTACACAAGTGCAAAGGTAACCCATTTTGGCTACATAAGAGTGCATGCATGGTCACCCTGTATATTAAGTTGTGCCCGTCAAATGTGGGGGTAAGCTGTGTGTACCCAGCTGCAGTGTAATAACAGGCGAGGCAAGCCCAGTTAAAGCACAAAATGAGCTGCCCCCATGGCCGACCGCCACATACATAAGTTAATCTTAGCTTTCCTGAAAACGTCAGCTGATTATCGAACCCAAGTAAAATATCATGAATATGAGACAAATGTTATCTATGTACTGTCACCAAACTCCATACACACACACACACACACACACACATGCATGCATGCATATATTTTAACGGGAACAAGGTATCACATAGAAATGTATTGCAAGCCAGCCAAATGCATAAATCGATTAATCACAACGCAACGAGTCAACTTACCAGGTGAACCGTTTCGTCCGCCTTGAAGCGCTGCTGCACAATTGACATTGTTGTTTTCTCTGGCGCCGCAGCTGCAGCTGCGCTCGCATCAGCGCCATTCGGATAGAGGCTGCCGCGTTCCATGGCTTAGCGTTTTTTTTTCTTTCACCGTTTTTTTTTTGGGGCTTGTCCTTGTTTAGCGGCTGTGTTTGTTTTTGTTATTATGGCGTGCTAATCGTCTGGGCGGCGGCACGCAGAATAATACTGAATGGGCGGTAGTTACGATATTATGGTTAATGCTGGAAATTTGTGTTGTTTTTGCTTTGACTGGCTATTTATAGTTAACACAACAGCTCGCATGCCTCTGGCGAGTGACGACACCAGCGTTTTTTTCTTTTTGAGTCTAATGCCGAAACCGAGGTCAAGGAAGCTTTCATGGATGGTTTAAATTTGATTTTTAAAAAGACTTTTTTCACGTGCTGGCTGCTCTTGCGTTTTTATCTTGTATTTGCTTTAACTGCTTTGAGACGGTGGGTGTGGGCGGGTATAGTTGTTTTTTTTTTTGTTTTTCGTTTTACGAAAAGACACACACACACACAGCGCAATCACACTTATTCACAGTCGTAGAACGAAGGGCTATTGGCGATGACGATAATTGTTATCCACCTTTCGGTTTCGGTTGAAATGGTTTTTAAATATAACCGCTACGCACATTACACACTTTATGCCAATTTGTGTGGCATTATCAAATTTGATTTAAGCTTGCGCACAGATAAAACAACAACACTAACAACAACAGCAGCAGCAAAAACAACAACAACAAAAAATAGTGGTATGCACAAACATTCCAAGCGAGCAGCAGCAGCAATAAAACCAACGTCAACAGCTGAAATTTAGCATAGCTTGGCGCAGGGCTGCAACGCAATCAAATGCACTTGTTAACCAACACTGTCAGCTGACAGTGCTGTTAACAGCAACAGCAGCAGCTCTAGCTTTAATTTCGTTACTTGCGCACGCAATTTGTTTTGCGGCTATTTTACGAAAACAAATATGTCACAATTTCAAAAGGAAATCGTCCAGGCGGTTCTCATAGCCGACAACAATGTGTGGAACTTTAAACCGCTATCCGACGAAGGCTCCACGGTGCGTACATATGCATATTACAATATGTTGTTGTGCTTGACTTCGCCACGCACGTTGCTTTAATACATTTGATTTATTTATATGCAGGCGCTGCTGCCGCTGGTGAATGTAAGCATGCTTGATTATGCTTTAATTGCGCTAAATCGCAGCGGCGTCGAGGAGGTATTCGTCTATGCTAGCCTATATCTGCAAGATATACGCGAGCACATCAAGTAAGTACGAAATGATTTATGTTCAGCTGCAATTGGGGTATTCCCGTTTTGTTGCTCAACTTGCAGCGCACAGTTGTGTCCATCTGTTTATAACCAGTTTCTGGATCTAATGCTTATTTATTCCTAACTATATACCTTAGTTTTGCATAAAATTTCTTGGCTAAATGCATTTCTTCGCCAGAGTATTTAGCACAAGTTTAGGTGCTAGGATAGTTTCGATACAACTTGCGTTCTCAATCTTATTCTCCGGGCAATTTCTTCTAGTTTGTTAATATTTATACACGGCTTGCTTTCATTCCCAGACGGGGCATAGCCGCATATGCCTCCTGGTCATTCAAGATGACCGTCCATGTGATTGGCGGCGAGGGCTGTCGCTGCTTTGGCGATGCGATGCGCGATCTGGATGCCAAGGCGCTGATCCGTGGCAATTTCATACTGCTGGGAGCGGACACAGTGACCAATGCGGATCTGCGGCCCGTACTGGAGCAGCACAAGCGCACGGCCAAATTTGATAAGGGCACGGCCGCCACGCTCATATTTAAGGAGTGCGCCAGCGGTGCCGAGCGCACCGGCAACGAGCTGCTGATTGCCGTGGACAAGCAGAATACACGGCTGGTCTATCACCAGCGATTGCGCGCCAATCACAAGGAGTCGCGCTATCAGATACCGCTCGATGTGTTCCTCAGCAATTCGTGCGTTACGCTGCATCACAATCTGCTCGATCCGCAGATTGCAATTGGTTCGCCCTCGATGCTGTCGCTGTTTAGCGATAATTTTGACTTTCAGACGCGCGACGATTTCGTGCGCGGCCTGCTCATCAACGAGGAGCTGCTGGACAGCCGCATCTATGTGACACTGCTGCCGCCGGCACAGTACGCGCACAAGGTGAACAATTGGTTATCCTATCAGCTGGTCAGCCGGGACATTATAAGCCGCTGGGCTCATCCGCTGGTGCCCGACATGAGTGTCTATAATCTGCAGCAGCAGTATGTCTTCTACAAGGATAACATCTACAAGAGTCACGAGGCGAACGTATCCAAGGTGGCGCTGCAGGAGAATGTTGTCATACAGGCGGGCAGCCATGTGGATGCCGGCACCAGCATCAGCTGCAGCGTAATTGGCGCCAATTGTCGCATCGGCAAGAATTGCCAGCTGAACAATGTGTTCCTTATGGCCAATGTGATTATACATGACAATTGCCAGCTGCGGCACTGTGTCATCGGCTCCAATTCGGTTATCCACGAGAATTGCAACATTAGCGCTGGCTGCGTGCTGGGCGCCAAGTGTGTGCTGCCCGCCAACACAAAGCTGGCCAACACGCTGGTCACCAGCTCGCCCAGCACACAGCGCACCGAGGAGCAGGAGCATGGTAGGCAAAACTAGCGCTTGACACTCTTTCACTCAGCCAACTAATTTGCGATCCATTTATTCAGTTGAACTGGAGGCCATTGGACCGTCTGCTTATATTGTCAACGATTTGACAACCGGCGATCCCGATGATTCCGATGCGGAAGACACTTTGCTGCCACAAACAACGACCCTCTGCATACCCAAAATGTGTGAGCTGCAGCAGCTGGCGAACGTGGACAGTGACTGCAGCTCTTCCAGCGAAGATGAGGACGAGGATGAATCACGTGGCGCCACACCGCTGCCCGATGACACCAACAGTACGCATCGATTTGAACTAAACCCAAAAAATGCAATTCTATTTAATTGCATGCTTGTTGCCATTGCAGTCTTTCTATCGGAGGTCATCGATTCGTTGTCACGTGGCTTTCGGGAAAAATCGAATCCAGATTTCCTCATACTCGAGATTAACTCGTCGCGCTATGCGTACAACATGTCACTCAAGGAGGTCAATTTCAATGTCGTCAAAGCTGTCTTCGGCATGCAGTCCATCGTCGAACCGCCCAACAATAATGTGTTGGCGGCCATCAATGCCGTCTTCAAGCAACTGGGACCTGTTGTCTCCAACTATATTAAGAGCGAGGATGCCATGCTGGATTGCCTGAAGGCCTTGGAGGTATTAAACGCGGCTTGGGTTGGGTTCGTCAGGACAGATTCGGCTGTTTCATTTCTGTTTCAACCAAAGGCTCATCAATTTGTCAGATATATATTGGATAGCGTTCCATTTGTCGTTCTTGTTAATGATGTTCCATTGCCTGTGCTTTCGGTGTTTAATTTCCATTTGTTTCATGGCGATCTTTACTCCTGTTCCATTTCTATTTGGCCCAAAGGAATTTAACTCGACAAAGAGGCATATCCTTATTAGCAATCATTTCCATTTGTTCCATTGGAAACGAATTCAACTTAATCTATTTTGTTTCTTTCGGGCAGGACATTTGCGAAGAGAACGAGCTGGTGCGTGAGAAAATCTCTCAGGTAGTGCATTACCTGTACGACAAAGACTTCGTCTCCGAGGATGCCATTCACGCCTGGTACAGCCAACTGGATGTTCAGGAGCACGCAACGCTGCGGCAAAGTCTCGCCAAGCTAGTCGACTGGCTGAACCAATCCAGCGAAGATGATGATGACGGAGACGATGATGATGATGATGATGATGAATAGACCAGCTGACACAACTGTGTTCCTTTACATAGAATGAAATAAACTATTTAAATACGATTTGCGTTTATTTGTTACAACATTTTTATTGCGACACACTCAAGAATTTTGGATTTAAATTGTAGTAGAAATGTTGTGTGAACTACATAAAACACAATTTTAGTTTTTTTTTGTAAACAAAAAAATAGGCCCTATTTAAGTCGAAAGAATTGTTTGCAATTTAAACATATTTCAATTGTTAACAGAGAAATTTATGTGGATGCTATCCAATAATATATAAATTTTGATTTACAATTGAAATATATGTGTATATATATATATTTATTTAGACATATATATATACGATGTATATATAACAAAGGAGCGTTTCATCAATAATCGCTTACAATTGACCGTAACGCCCTAAATCGATATACAATTTGTATATTAGCAATCGAAATAGAAAAATTGATTAATATTAATAATAAAAAAAAAAAAAACAACGTTATATCTATATAAAATATATGACGCTGCATAACGTAAGCTTCACTTGCTGGGGTGGGAGGGGGGCTGTTAAGAATTGTAAGTATCTAAGGCTTAACTCAAGTGCATATTACTAGGTCTCGTTACTCGCTGCCCATTACTCGCGGCTCTTTACTCGCTACTCTTTACTCGTTGCCCATTGCTAGCAACTTAACACGCTACTCTTTAATCGTTACTCGTTGCTCGTTACTAGCAACTTTATTCGCTACTTTTTACTCGTTACTAGCAACTGTACCCCTTGCTCGTTCCTCGCTACTCGTTACTAGCAACTTTACTCGCTACTTGCTTCTCGCTGTTCGCTACTTTTCATATTGGAACTCTTGCGAGTCAGACTCGTCGCCAGCAGCCAGCACCTTAATGACAGCGCCTTCTGTCTTATCCTCATCCTTTTCGTCATGCGACTGACTCTCATCTTCTGACTCCTTCATGGATTCGATGGTTATTTGCGTATCCTCGGCACAATCATCGGCATTTGTGGCATCCACCTCAGCTGCTGCTGTTTTCTCTGGCTTATCCACCGCATCCGAGTCATCGGCATCTGCATCTGCATCTGCATCTGCATCTCCATCGGCATCCGCATCTCTATCCGCATCTACATCTGCATCTCCATCCGCGTCGGCATCAGCATCAGCATCTGCATCGGCATCTGCATCATCTTCATCGTCATTTTGTTTTTTCTCCTCGTCGGCCTTGGTCTCATCTTCTTGTTCACTGTCCACATCCATGGGCTCCACATCGGACTCAACTAATTGCTTAGATTTCTCGCGTTTCTCTTTCGCTTCATCCAAACTCTGCTCTGGCTTATCCTTGTCCATTGCCGGAGCAGCAGCTGATGGTGTACGTTTTGTGTTAGTCGCTTTGCCCGCTTCGGATTTGGCTGACTTTGGTGATTTAGCGGCGGATGCCTGGCTGAAGCTGCGCTCCTCAATGTTCCGATTGATGTCCAGAGCAATATACTCGAGTCGCAGCTGCACGCTCTTCTGGAACACCTCACTGTTGGCGCTGGACACAAGATTGCTGCGCACCTCCTCGATGCAGCCCTCGAGCACCTTGTTCACCTCGCCCGCCTCCCAATCGCTATCCAGATTCTGGGTAACAATCAGCAGCGTGGTCAAATTCTTGAGCAGCGTGACCATCCGTTCACTTTTCACAACGCCCTTGTTCATCTCGTCGACGGTTTGGCTGGCCTTGGCGCGACATTCCTCGCGCAACAGCGTCGGAGATATCATGGCCTGGACATTGGGATTGCGGGTGAGGCTGCTGGACAGCTCCTGCACCTTGGTCAGCTCGTACATGAGATCGCCATTGAGCCGTTCGATAAATATAATGTTGGAGGCATAGCGACGCTGGAAATCATCGCGGAATTGACGGCGACTATGGTCGGCGACCTCCTCCTGGCCCATCAGCTCGCCCATGGCCAGCTCGGCGGTGTCGTTCATTTTGCTCAGCCGCTGTATCTTTTCCTCCTTCAGCGCAATATAGTTCTGCAGCAAGACCAAATGCTCGAGCAGCTTCATAGGATAGCCATGATGTCGCACCAGCTGCATTCTCATCGGACTCTCACCGATGGCATCCTGTCCCAGCAGCGGATCACTCTTGTTCAATTTCATGCTGAGCGCATTCCGTGCCGCCGCATTGTTGTTGGCCAGATGCTTTTGCGGCGTCGTCGTCGCCGGATTGTTGCTGTTCTGGTTGCTGCCGGCGGCGACAAGTGGATGACGTTTGCCCTGAAAGCTGCTCGCCAGGTTCGTGGTGAAGCCCAAATTGGTGGTGTAGCCCATGTTGTTGGTCTGATAGATGCTCATCAAGTTGGGCCGAAAGTCTTTGGTGAAGCTGTGCAGCGGCAGCATCTCGTGAAAGTTCTCGGACACAATCTCATAGTCCGGTATCGACTGTGTGCCCAGGCCGGGTCGCTCGAACGTGACACGATACATGGCATTCAGTGAATCATAGGCGGCCACTGTGCCCGCAAAGATGCCGTCCTGCGGCGCACGCAAACGTGCCGTCACCTTGGTGCCCAATGGCAGCGGCATCGGTATCTTTTCGGGCATATCTGCCAGTAGCAGCGTGTCCTTGAGCTCGCCGGGCTTGCGGCACTGCAGCGTGCGCATCAGCTGACGCTTCCGCTCCAGCTCGCGCCGCTCCTCATGAAAGAAGGCGGCCGAACAGCGTCGCGGTCGACCCATGCGTCGCCTGATGTTCACCCATTCGTGGCGATTCAATTTCCGTGTGCCGAGACGCGGCGCCAGCTCATTAACATGATTCATGAAATCGTATTTGCAATCGAAGAGCGGCTTGTCGATGTACGAGTAGAACCATTCGGCAATGGCCCATTTGTGCGCCTTTGGCAGCTTGAGCAGATTGCGCAGGCGCAGCCCAATCGATTGGCCCAAACGTTTGTTGGCCAGCGCCTGGGCCTCCGCTTTGCGTACGGCTTCCTCGGCAGCGGCAGCGGCCGCAGCAGCTGCGGCGCCCTTCGTGCCACTCGTGGCGCCACGACCAGGTCGCAGATGACCCGCCAGCTGCGGAAGCTGCTGCTGCGTATGCTGCTGCTGATGCTGCTGCTGTTGTGCCTTGCTGGCGGATGTTGGTGTCGTCGGCAGCTTGGCCGGCGTCTTCTTTTGCTTGCCCGCGGATGTGGGCGTGTCCGAGGCGGCCGCATCTGCAGCTGAGTTGGATGTGGAGGCGCCATTGTTGCTATCATTGGAGCGCATATAGCGTGAGACGACGCCCTTGCGTTTCTTTAGCACCTTGGAGGGCGTGGTCAGCAGCTTGCTGGGACTGTCGCCGGAGCCGCGCGCCGAACCCTTTTTGGGCGCCAGACTGACGCGCAACGGCTTATCATCATTGATGATGTTCTCGTCGTAGAAGAGCGGATTGGGCCTGCGTATGCGGGCGGGCATGCCGCGTGCGTTCAGCGTTAGGATGGGCGCCTTTTGGGTCTTCGGTTTTGGCGGCGGAGCGCTGCCCACGCGCTGCAGCCCGAGCGTGGCCAGGCTGAAGGCAGGCGGCTCCACTTGCTCATCGGGATCGCTTGCCTCATTGCTGTCCGGCTCCGGTTCCGGCTCTGGCTCCTCCTCCTCTTCCTCATCATCCTCCTCGGCGTCATCCACGTCCTCAGTGTCCAGATCATGGTCGACGGGCTCGGCATCCTCATCTTCGATATCCTCGTCCAGTCCGTGCTCGTGCTTTTGCTCAGTTTCGCTCGTTTTCACGGCTTTGCTTTGGTTTAACGGCTGCGTTGCCTTGTTGTTTCCCGCTTCCATCATCTCATCCTCGTCGTTGGAGACGCGCGCGATCTTGCGCAACGCGGCGGCTGCCTTCCGGGGCCTACCCCGTTGGCCGGTGCTTCTGGTCTCCGTTTCGGGCATTTTCGCCAGCTGTAAAATTTTAAAAGCCCTTGATTAGCCATTCCTTATAAATTGAAACCTATTCAACAGCCAGTCGAACTGATCCGACCAGGAGCTACCCTGTGTCCAGCTGTCCTTACAAACATGCTACCTTCCCCCTAGAAGATACTCACACACACACACACACACACACACACACACACACACAAGCTCAACTGTGTTTCCTCTTCCCTTAGCAAACCGTCAAGGAAAACGCGTTCTTGTTTAGCTTCGGAGCTTGTTTTCCGATCTTTACAAAATTTTCGCACTTAAAACTGTGATTTACAAAAATTTGCTTATACGGAAGCATACAGCTCTGCCTCTTTATGGGCTTCTTCTACTCTGCTTTTAATATATGTATCCTATCTGGAATGAGTTTAGCTTCGATAAAACTGAATAATTGGGCAAAGATTTGTATACCTTCATCTATATTATGATAAAACACTTTTGATCACATATTAAGCAGAAAAGATAAGGTCTGATGAGTTAAACAATGCCCTATGAGATAGAGAGAGAAAGAGAGAGAGAGAGAGAGAGAGAGAGAAAGGCAGAGTAGAGGGAGAGAGCGATATAAATATGAAATATTTTGTTCTTTTCTTAAAAAACAAAAGCATTTTTGACTAAAAACTATATCTCTGACAGATCGTAGCTATATGTATATATAAGATCTGACTTGTAAAAAAGTGTTTAAAATGCAGCTAAGCCTAGTTTTATAAACAAGACATGGATATAGAAAGAGACAATAGTTGATGGAAGACATAACCCAGCTTGAAATACCAGATAAATAATAGTTATAATCTTTGTTAAAATATTTAAAAATAAATTCCTTGAACTTTCCTTAAGCAAAAAACACTTCACAAATTGTCGCAATTTCTACATTCAAACATTTGGGATATTCCCTTAAGAACTAATTAAAATTTAATAACAAACACAACGCAATTAATTTATGTTTCGTTTGACTTTATTTCTTGCATGTCTATATATATATATATATATATTTTATTAATTTTTTATGTTTATTTTTTCGTTCATTTTTTCATTTTGCGTAATACTTTGATTGAAGGACCTCGAATATACACATACATACACATATTCGTAATTCAAATTAAGCACAAATACAATTTATTTCATTTTTCATTTGTCATAATCTGTCGTATATATTTATATATATCTTTGTGTAGTAGTGTGTGTGTGTGTGTGTGTTTAGCCTATACAAAACATACAGATATAAATACAGATAAGGGACTAACACAATTGCGTGCGTGTGTGTGTGTAATATTGCTAAGCTTTTTTTTTTGCATTTAATTGTTCTCTTAAATTGAATTCAAGTTTAACTTTAGAGTTTGCTAATTGCAAAATGAATAACAAACAAATAGATATATATATATATTAAGCCGAAAAAGTAGTAACTTTTTTAAATTTTTAACTTAATTTATATAAAAACAAAAAGTGTGTTTATTTTTTTTAATTGTTCTTAACTATTTTTATGTTTTTTTTTCTTTCTTTCTTTATAAAGTAGCAACTTTGCGCAATACATGTATTTTGTTGTTGTTTTTTAATAGTTGTAGATAGATAATAACAATACATTAGGTTTAACAAATATCAATATCAATAATAATATTAATTATAATAATCATAATAGTAATAATTACAATAGTAAGTAGTAATAACAGCATTCATTCTTTGTTTGTATTGGTTGGAGTTTCTTTTTTTTTTTTTTTTTTTTTGCTTTAGTTTTCAATTCCATTTTGTTTAAACAAATGTAGTTGTGTTTTTGTTAAGTTGCTTTCGGTCGCATTTTGTAGTATTTTTTTTTTTTGCTTTTAATAATTTATAGTTTTTTTTTTGTGTTTCTTTTATATGTATATATTTTTCTTTAACAAAACAAATAGCATTTAGCTTCTCTTAGAACTACAGAATACACGCATTACATAAATATTAAACAGCGAAGTTCTCAACTGCCGAAAACCAAAACGATTTGCGCATATAAAATAATATATTTAAAAAAAAAAAATATGGTAAAAGATAAAAAGAAAATTAACTTAAAACAAAAAAAAAAGTAATTTCGAAGGGAGTACCCTCAATAATATGCATTGGGCAAATTGTTTTGGTTATCGAAAGTCTGTTTCGGGCGCTGTTTGAATTAGTTTTTCTTCTATTTTGTTTTTGTTTTTTGGTTTCTTAAACAATGCCAGGAAAAAACGTTTTAAAATCGCACAAAATACAATTAAAATACATATGTATACAAATACAAATATTTATATATATTATACATAATAAATAACAGTTGGTTTTATTTTCTCATATTGGGTTTGCCTGTTTTTTTATTGACTTTTTATTGTTTACTATTTATTTGTTGTCTATTTATTGTTTTAGTTGATGATCGTGTCGCTCGCTTTTGAAGCCCGCGTTGTTGATTGCCTAAATAGTATGCAGCTCGGCTGCTCAGTATGTGGCCTAACGACGTTGACTCCGCTCTATTCTTGGGACTATCGATGGGCGTTTATCGATAAATCAATAACGATGAATGTTGATCGACGAATTGATAGCAATAAAATGTTGATCGATAGAACGATAACGATGAATGTTGATCGACGAATGGATACCAATAAATGTTGATCGATAGATCGATAACAATCAATGTTAATCGATAAATCCACAAAATTACATGTTGATCGATGAATTGATAACAATAAACGTTGATCGATAATACCTAATGTTGCTCGATAAATCGATAATCCTTAATATGTCGATCGATAAATCGATAACGATAGATGTATGCAAGTGAATATTATCGATAAATCGCTATCGATAGTCGTTGAAATGAAACTCGTTGTTAATCGTTCGCTTGAAATTTTAAACATTGAATCGCGTCTCAGAGCCATCCGCCAGCATAAGCGTCACGGTGCGATTGTTAATCCAGACCAGCTTGGCCAGTCGCATCGGATTCAGCCGCGACACATCCGGTATGGGCGCCGTTGAGTAGCCCTTGGTGCAGCGCGTCTGCGACTGGCCCAGACCGAACATGCCGGTGCTCGTCTGCCAGAAGGACAAACGATTCTCGGTACACGAATAAGATACCAAATATTTGCCATCGGGCGAGAAGGCCAACGAGGTGATCGGATGCGTATGGGCGGGTATCATTTGGCATTTATTCTGCCTCAGCTCGTAGATGGCCAAATTGCCGCTATTGGCGCCGACGGCAATGCGTCGTGTTTGGGCGCAATGCGAGATTTGGTTGAATTTACAGATGGCCGGGCACAGCTCGGCCAGGCCGCGACTCTTCAGCTCATTGCTGTCGACGCAGTGCAACGCAATATCCATGACCTCGACCAGCAGTCCAGCAATCTCCGATTGCATTTTATCAATTAGCATCTCCACGCATTGCAATATCTCGCTCTTGGCCTTGTACAGCACAGACTGGGTCAACGGCGTATTGATCGATTGGGCATTCTGCTGCATCGTATTGTAGCGTGCCACCTCCCGGGCCATGGTCGTGATGAAGGCCGCCGGCCGTGCCGTAGCGATTAGCCGGAGTGCGTGACGCGCCGTGCGACAGGCATCCGCTTGCGGTGTCAATGGCAATTTGTAATTTAAGTTGGGCACCTCCTTGCCCTCGCACGAGATCTCCAGCAGGCCGAGCAGCACCTTGGACACGTCCAGATAGGGCTCCCAGACGGTAAAGCCGCGGCCCAACAGATCGATGGCCGCACGACGCAGCGGCGTATACTGCGGCAGCTTGGGCGATGGCGGCGCGTACAGCAGATGGGCCAGCGCCATGGAGGTGAGACGGGCCAGATTGTTGGCAATGCCGAAGCCCTCGACCACGGAGGATTTGCGACGCTCGTTGGCATGGCCCAGACTGATGCTGCCCCGATGATTCGGCGACTCCTGCGATATATCCTGACCGAATTCGGCGCCAATGACGCCCAGCAGTATGACGGCGGTGGTCTGTTTGCGCTTCAGCTCCGACAGACTGGACGGCTTGCGTATGATCTCCTCCTCCTCCTCCTCATAGTCCTCATCCTGCTGATCGCCGGAGCCGCCAATGCCAACGCCTGCGCCGCCAGCAATCACCTGGCCGCCCGACAATGAGCTGCCGCCGTTGCCCACCAGAGAGTTGGGACCGCCAGCACCACCAGAACCACCGCCAGCACCACCGGAGCCACCTCCGCCAGAGCCGCCACCCGCCTGACTATTCGCCATCTGCTGGGCGCCGACAATGGGCTCGGTGTGCGTATAGAGTGGCAAATACTGTGCCCAGCTCTCGACGAGCTGTTTGCGTCCCTTCTTGCCCATGCGGGTGAGTTCGCCGAGCAGTATCTGTTGCGCTGCTTCGCGTATCTCGATGCAATGATGCTGCCAGCGCTTGACCATCATTTCGACCTGTGGACGCTTGAATTTCTTGGGCTCGAGCGCCTCGATTTTGTCGGGCAAGAGGAAGCAATGGTGTGTGGACAGCAGGCTCCAGCCCTGCTTGATCTGTGAGGTGTGATGGGCGAGCAGCTCCTCGCGCTCCTCCTCGCTGTTCAGCGTGGAGTCGGCACGCTGGGCCAAACGCTGCAGCTTCTTGTGCTTCTCGCTGTCTGGCAGAAATGAGGCGGCGCTCATGGACATCAGCGTATTGGACATGGCGACCAGTGCCAGTATGTGATTCGATGTCAATGTGGTGCTTAGTTCCCAGTGCAGACGGGATGTAAAAATGGCCGTCAAGTGCTCCAGACGCTGCAGTTCCTCGGGCAGCGGACGCTTCTTGGAGCTGGAGGGTTGCTGGAGCAGTCCCGGCGGTATGGCATAGTTATTCTGCCAGGTGGGCAGCAGCAGGGACATGTAGCCCGCCTTGGAGAGCACACCGTACGAGATGGGCACAATGGGACGCAGCAGACCCAGCTGGGATTCGCATACCTTATCCAGATGCGGATCGAGGCCCCAGGAGTGCAGCAGCGAGAGCAGAAGCTGTGCCACTTCCATGACATGCGTCACCTCCATTTTGGATGCAATCTTACTCCTTAGATCTTGCGGCTGCTCCTCGTGCGATTCAACGGCCTTCTGCAGGCTCTCCACCTTGGCCTGCACCTTCTTCTCGACAATTTCCGTCTTCTCTTTGAACTTCTGCACCAGTCCGTGCTTGTCCTTGTCCTTGAGTATCTTCTCCACATCGACGGCCTTGTTCTTGACCTTGCTGAAGAAGTCACCGATCTTTTTGCTCGCATCAATGTGCATCGATTTGCCATCCTTGGGATGCTGCAGATGCACACCGAGCGCCTCCAAGGCGGCGGGCGACATCTGTGCATATTCCTCGCTGTGCAGCTCGAATATCAGGCCCTCGATATCGAAGAAGAGTATGTGACTCTCGGCATCCTTGGGATTGGTACGCAAACCCTGTATGACCAGCGGATTGCTGCGATGCTTCATCAATAAATCAATGTTGCCCTGATTGTGGCCCTGCAGCTGCTGCAGCTGATGGATGCCGCGCTGTGTGGCATGCCGTATGGCGTTCATGTTGCGCGACTTGAGTCCCCTAAAGAAATGCACCGCCGGATTGGCCATGCCCATCTCACTGGCCGAATTGGCAGCACCGCTGCCCGAATTGCCGCCACCGGTGCCGCCCTCGTCCAGAGCCTGCTCATCGCAGGCAGAGAGCACCTCCTCGGCGAGCATGCCATGGAGCACACGATCCAAGTGACCCGTTTCCATTTGCCAAACATAGACACTGCCATCAGAGCAGCCGACAATGAGAAAATCATCGAGTGGACGCCATTTGATGGTCACAACCGGAAACAGATGGCGACTCGCTAGCGTAACGCATTTGCGCTCCTGCAAACTAACCAGGGTGACCGAATGATCGGAGGCCACCGAGCAAATGCATTTAAGTATACGCGGACTACAGCTCTCCGGCGGCACGAGCAGCTGTGTTATCTCACCGGCATGCACACAGAACCGATGCAACAGACTGCCGCTGTACAAATCCCATAAGCACACGGCGAAATCAATGCCGCCGGAGAGCAGATGGGATTTCTCGTAGCGCGGATGCACCATGGACGGGCACAGCAAGCAATTGACGCGTCCGCGATGCCCATACAGTATCTGATGCGAGGGCCAATCACTGAAGTTCTGCTTAATCCCGACGAGCAGCTGCATCATAACCGTCTGTGTTGCCGGCACAATCACAATGCTGCCATCTTCGCGTCCGATGACCAAACGGCTCTGCTGTGGCAAATAAATGCTGGATGTCAGCTTCACCGGCGACTCCGTGATGCGCGACAGCTGGTCGAGTATGCCCACCGGCGGTGGATCCATAATCGACCAGGCCTCCACCAGCGAAGTGCAGACATGCGGCTTCTGTATGCGAGGCGGCATTTGCTTGGCCTGCAATATGCTAATGTTATCCAATGGCACCTCCGGCACATTCCATACCGATATATAGCCCTCGGAGTCGCCGCGCAACAGAAAATGTGTCTGCTGGCCCATCAACAGCTTCATGGCCGGCGGGCACGAGAGCACCTTGTCGCCGGCATGCTGCAGCACATAGTACAGATAGGGTGCATCGCGTACGACGCTCTTGGAATGGAACTCCTTGTTATCGGGTATACAATTTGCGGGTAACTTATACAAATATCCCTTGCCCTCATCCGTCCAGAGCATAACACGATCCGAGGTGATAAAATCGCCGCCCTGCCAACGTTCCCGAGCCGGGGCTATTACCGAGCAGAGCACGGTAAAGTCGCCGGCATCGTAGATCTGCCAGTATTTGGTGCAAACCAGGAGCACAGTGCGCTGATTCTGTGCACAACAGTTCATGGTGATGGCATTCAGGCAACGTATCTCCTTCGACTCGTTCTCGTAGATGGGCTCCGCGTGCTTGTTCTCGTTGCCCGTCAATGTCCAGACTTTGACGGTGCCGGTGGTCGTGATGGCCAGCACGACATCATCTTTGCGGCGCATCGGACGCAGCACATGTATGGCAGATATCCAATCGGGCTTCACCTTGGAGCTGAGCACATAGATCACCTCCAGGCTAAACGGATCCATGACCATAATCTCGGCATAATAGCCAATGCAGAAGAGACGCACATCCTCGCTGTTTGCGGTATGATAGCTTTGGATTTGTGTATGCACCTGGGGCAGCTTGACAGCCTCGGTGCACTTGCCATCGATCAGATCCCAGGTGCACATCTCACCGTTCTCCGATGAACTGACTAGAAAATTATTCTCCGGCAGCAGCGAGGCGCGCACCAGGCACAGCACTGGCGCCGAGTGGCCAACGAGCAGGCAGCGTGGTGACATCTTTAATGTGGCTGGCTCCACTTGCCACAGGCAGATCTGTCCATCGTAGCAGCCGGTGACCAGTGTGCATTGATCGTCCGACAGAAAGACGCTCGATATGCAGTGCGTGGGCGCTGTCGGACCCCATAGCACCACAGGCACAACCAGATTCGTACTCACCATGGTTTTATGGTACAAACACGAGACCAAACCACGACACCAACTCCGTCTCCAACTCCTCCTCCTCTTATGCTGACTATGTTCGCTTTATGCTGTGCGTGTGTATCTGTGGGCAAATATCGTTTTCGCCTTGTTCTTGTTGTTGTTGTTCTCTGTAAGAATTTATTAGTAAACATTGGACCACAACGTTGCTTGGCGGGGCTACACACTCGAGTGTGTGTGTGTGTGTGCGTGTGTAAACATACAGTGAAAAATTCTGATAGTGCACCAAATCGATTTTCATTTGACCTACGTATTTCGTTTAAGCTCATCTTGAAAGTGATTTGGAATTGAAGAAAGTTCTGACAAGGTTTCAATGGAAGCCGAGTGTAAGCTTTCTTCTTTAGGCTCTTCGGCGTTTCGTTTTGCATTGTTTCTGAATTGGAAAACTACAATTTCTCTGGGGCAAAGAGAAGAATCGAGTGGAATGTTAGCTGATAATGCGATACCTGATAACAATTTAAGTTGTTTTAACTGAAGCTTATCTCGAGAACAAAAATAACAATAACATAGACAAGTTTATGCTGCCAGTAGAATCTTTACGGATGCGAAACAAAGAGAAAATAGACACACAAAAAAAAAAATATCATAGCGAATATGGCATGAATATTACATAACAATTTTCATGACCAGCTAAGCTGGCAGCAGAATGTTTACGGATGCGACACAAAAAGGAAGATATTAATAAGCTGCGCTGCCAGCGAAATGTTTACGGATGCGGCACAAAGAAGACGGAACAATAAACGGCATATGGAAAGTGAGTCATGTGGCCGCCCTTTAAGCTGGAATTGAAATAACACATTTTTTACACACACTCATTTCAGCCAAAGTGACTATAAAATAGTAAAAGCATTCAAATTAAGCCGTTTGTTTTATATGAAACAATTTAACTGTAGACGCAGCAACATATGTTTTAGTTTAAGCGAGAGTGCACCATAAAGATACATTACTGTAAAGACTTAGGAGAGATTGCAAAGTCAGCGTATTGAATATCAAAAGATAAACACGGCACGCACACACCCACACAGACACACATACAGGCACGCAAACAAACAAAATTGTGTTATACAATTGAGGCGCTGGAGACAACCTTGCGGGTAAAAAAAAAAATACCTCCCTCGCAACGCCACCCACCCTGGGCAAACAATATGTGACCAGGATGAAGAAAATAAAGAAAAAGTAAGAAAAACAACTGCGTTTCGAGTTAATTTCTAGACAATAAAGACAATATATACACATATGTATGTGCACAAGACAACAGAGTAGCGCAAGTAAATGGCAAGTGTGGCCGGACAAACAAATGGATGGATGGACAGCCTAGCCAGACTGTCACATATATACATATGTATGTACGTCACCAGCAGCAGCAGCAGCAGACGCGCGCGCAGGCAATTAGCTGCAGTAACTGAGACAATATGGCAACTACATATGCTAACTGGACACCACAGATGGAGCAGAGCCGCTCATCAAATTCTATAACATGCTAAATTAATTGGAGATGACGACGCGTGCGTTGTGCATTTTGGGCTTGAAAAATGATTAAAATGGGCTGCCCAATTGGGTTGCAAACACACACACACACACACAAGCACACAGAAGTGTAGACCCGCCAATAAATAGTAATTGTAGATAACTTAGCATTTAGCTAACATTTTGCTGTTGTTGTTGTTGTTGCTGCTGCTGTTTCCGTATTGGTTGGCGCGTGATGGCCTCCTCTCCCACTCCACTCGTTTCGCTTGGGTGTTTTTGTTGCTTTGTGTTATTTTTTATTTTTTTTGTTTGCAGGGCCTGCTATTGATCCTGATCCGAGTACTGCTGCTGCATTTTTGGCGTTGCGAATAACTGTTGGCTACCACGCAGCGCAGTTATGGAATGTCGTCGTCGTCGTCGTCAACTCACGATTCTAATTTGAATACACTCTGTCGATTGTTATATTTTTTATATTTTTTTTACTGCTGGGCCCCGTGTGTGGCTGTCGCTATCCGTTCAATTACAACACACACACACATATATATATATATATATATATATATACACTGTTGTTGTTGCTCTTTATGTTATTGCTATCGCGATTAGCGATTTTTCTCATATGTATTTATACTATTTTGCCCATTGGGGGTTTTCGCAGCTATATTATAACACTTTCATACAAATTGTTGTTGTACTGTTTCGACTCAAGGCATATACATAGATATCCGTTCACTTTAACTATCACTTGGTTTTCACTTTGTATATTCTATATGTTTTTTTCTATTTTTTTTTTATTTTTTTTATTTATTTTCTATTTTTTTATTTTGGTGCACACGAAAATCTGCTGAGCACAGGAAAAAGCAATGAAGATATCGACCGTAGGCTAAAAATTGTCGATAAATTGCTAGAGTTGTCACAACGCCCAACGACACGATACATTCATGCAATTTTTAATTGGGTGACAACTCTGCACAACAATTTTGATATTTTGCTTAAATGTCATTGTTTTTTAGCGTTTTTTATTGTTTCAACGCACATTTCGAACCGATGAAATGCTTAAAATACATTTAATGCAAGTTTTGCGTACTCTTGCGACCTTGACTGAACTTTTTACACATGCTTGAAACGTAATGTCGTTACCTATTGTCCAACGGACAACGCAGTCAACAATGTACATGCGCTTGTCAAACAAGAATTAATTCATTTTGAGCATACTTATCATATATTTCGAATAGCATAAGTGTTTGCTGCAATTTGCTAGTCTAGATTACTTAAAACACATTTTGAAATATGGAAGCACATATGTAAATAAACAAACACACGCTTGTCAACATGAAGGTAGCTGTTGCTGTTGCTTTCTTTTGTATTATTAACGATTTAATCACAATGGAATTGTAAACGATAAACAGAACTGTGTACTTACCGTCTAAAAATGTTTTGTTTTGTTTGTTTTTAACTTTTGCTGCACGTTCTTTTAAATTTACGACAAAATGCTCTTGACACACACTCTTTTGAATGGCGGCTAGAAAAGAAAACCAGCGATGAGTGTTATGCTGTAGGGTTGCTTAACGTATATACATCGATTAATCGAAAATTTTAAATCTTTGATAGCCCAGATTTGTCAATATCTTTTCAACAGATTGATATTGTAGGCCATAAATTTAACCATAAATAAATCATTAACATAAAAAACGGGCAATAACAATATTGAAATTTTTAACCAGAAATGAAATAATATTGTATATTTGGTTTCTGTAAACAACACCTGTGTCGCAAACTTTTTTTATAGAATCCTTTTGGGTAAACGACATGTTATATTGCGAACTGTACGAATATTAAATATGATATTTGTGATTTGCTACGCTCCGTACGTAAAAAGCTTTTTAATTTAGCAATTCTGTTTGTCCTCGACTCCAATTAGCATACTGTAACCACTTATCGAACTTATTCGAGTCTGGTAGCACCACAGTGAGGAGCGGCTCTGTTAAGTGGGGAGCAGCTCTGTTAAGTGAAAATAAATAACAAATGCGGCGGCTGTTACAAAATAGCAATGGACAATTATTTGTCACCCAAATTGTGTCCAGGCATGCAAGCAGCAGTGGCGCTACCACCCACGTCCACAAGCCACAAAAGGAGCCGCGAAAACAACAGCAACAGCAGCCTAAGGCCACAACAACACAAACAACAGAAGCGGTCAGCAGAGAAGATAAATTTGGTGCCAAATATTGCATGGGCCTGGTGGAGTAAGTAAAGCCACATGGCGCATTGCCTGCAACACTACTTAATGTTTCTACATAAAATCGGCACAGAAAATTCGATTATGAGAACTATTTGACTACTCTGCTACTGCCAAAGGAGCTGCGTCCCGCGGCATTTGCACTTCGCGCCTTCAATGTGGAGGTCTCCCGCGCCGTGGGCGCCCAGGTAAGTGTACAGAATATGACGCACATTACACACAGTATATAAACGTAATTGAGTGCTTGCAGCTGAGCGAGCCACAAATAGCTAAATTGCGGCTTAAGTTTTGGTACGATTCCATAGACAAGTGCTTCGAGCCCAAGACGAGTAATTCCTATGTCAAGGATCAGCCCGTGCTGCGCGAACTGCGACGCACGGTGGGCACAACCAAGCTGAACAAGCTATATTTACGCCGGCTGGTTACCGCACGCGAGCGTGCGCCCAATCAAGCATTCGAGACGATACGCGAGCTGGAGGACTATGCCGATCAGACGTGCTCATCTCTGCTGCATCTGCTAGTGCAGCTGAGCGGCATACAGGATATACAAGTGGATCATGCTGCCTCGCATTTGGGCAAGGCACAGGGCATTTCGATGCTGTTGCGTGCCATACCGCATGCCGGACGCCAGCAAGCGGTTTGTGTGCCGCTCGAGGTGCTGGTGCGGCATGGCGTCAGTCAAGAGCGTATCCTGCGCAGCCAGCGTGATGACAAGGGCGTCGAGGAGTGCATCTTCGAGGTGGCGAGTGCGGCCAATGCACATTTAAAACTGACGCGGCAGCTGTTGCCGCAAATGCCGCGGCTTGTGCGCAAGATATTTCTGCCAGCCGTGCCCACAGAGGGCTACTTGGAGCGCTTGCGCCGGGCGCGCTTTCAGTAAGTGAGAACAAAAAAACAATTTAAATATCAATTTAAACGTTTTCACTCTGCATAATTTCAGGCTTACGCATCCCAGTTGCATTAAGCGGGACACTATGTTGCCGGCGCGTCTCTTCTGGAAAACGCTGTTCAACAAATACTGAAATTGAAATTATCATTAGTGTACGGACTGTTGAAATTTGTTAATTATTAAAATCAATTACCTAAAAAGAATTCATTGAATCTGTTACCAGAGGATCGATAACAGAATCGATGCCCAACACTGGCGCACAGTGTGTATCGATGCTTTGTAGTTGCTGCTGTTTCTTGAAAGTAGCGCGTTGTGGATTTTTTTTTTTAGTTTTTAGTGTTAGAGCAAAGAATCAAAATAAAACATATGAAATGTGTCGCAAATTTTAAATGAATGTTTCTTACAAATTAATATTAATGTACCCATTGTGTGTTATTGCAATTATTTGCAAACGGAGCCGTGCGCCAGGCGCACTTCGAATTCCAAGCACCGTTCTAAGTCTAAATGAACCAAGCAACAAAAATAATTAAATTTTGTATTCATATCAACATTTTATGGTAAGTTCAAATTAATACAAATTAGAATTTGTTTTTGTTCAGGCCCAACTATTATTGAATACACGCCATTTTTTTTTTCCAGTACATGCAAATGCAATAAGAATTTTTTTTTGCCGCTCTCTATGTTTCGTTGCTTCTACAAAATTAACGGATATTTATTGTGCCCTCTCTCGCCCTCTCTTTCTACCACTCACTGCAAACTCAGCTCAGAGCTGGTCGGGCAGAAGCAAAGCGACAAGGATAGACAAACGCAATAAAGAAATACGGTTACTTCTATACAGTGGCGGCCAATTCCAATAAGAACAGAGTAGCCGAAAAAAAACAACAACAAAAAAATCATATAACAACTTAGCGTAAAGAAAGTGAATAAGTAATAAACGGGCATAAATTAAATGAAACAAGCTCAAAAGTCGTACATAAACATAATATAAAATATACAAAAAATACATAAAAAATAAAAAACAAAAAATAAAAAAAAAATTAAAATAAAAAAATTAACATAAAAAGTTTTAAAAAAAAAATTTAATTAATTAATATAGTTTTACTTTAAACGTAAGCGACATCATCTGCTTTGAGCCATTTTTTATACACAAACTCAAAGCGCGGCCCAACAAATAATAATACTACAAATCCGAATGCTTCCTATGTACACGAGCCGAGCAGAAATGAAGATCTTTGCCACAAATGTTGCTGTTGTCGGCGCAGCGGAGACGGCGGCTGCTGCTGCTGCTGCAACAACGACAGCAACAACAACAACGCAACAGCAACAACAACAACAACGCGAATATCGTTGTAGCGCCCAGGTCAAGTTCAACAAATACAACAACAAGGCCAACAACGTGGTGCGGCAAACCAAATACAACAACAGCAGCAGCAGCAGCAGCAACAACAGCAACAGCAGCAACGCGGACAATAAACATGTCAAGCGCCAGCAACAGCAGCAGCAGCAGCAACAACAACAACAGCCACAACAACAACAACAACAGGTGCACTACAACAACAATATGCACAACTTTACGCGCAAGAAATATTTTGGCAGCAACAGCTACAATTGCAACCAACAGCAGCAGCAGCAGCAACAACAAGCGACAGCAGCAGCAGCAGCAACAAAGCTGTCTAACAACAACAACAACAACGTGATGAAAAATCAAAATATTATTGAAGAAATCAGCTGCAAGCACAGCAACGACAGCAACAACAACAGCAGCAGCAACAGCAGCAACGACAGCAGCAACGACAGCAACAACAACAGCAACAACAATGCTGTCACAAAGCAGCAACAAAAAGCTAACAACAACAACAACACCAAGAAACGCAACTCGCTGTCATCTTCGGCGGAATCGAGCAGCTCGTCGGCGTTTTATCACAGCTGCTCCGAGTCATCAACAACGCCGACAGCCAACAACAACAGCAACAACAGCAGCAACAATGATGACCGCCAACAGCAGCAACAACAGAGCACATCAACAACATTGGCAACAGCAGCAGCATCAACAGCAGCAGCAGCAGCAACAACAAAGCAACAACCAACAGCAAACGCATTGGCACAACAACAACAACAGCAACAACAAACGGACAACAGCAACAAGACGCAGAGGTCGAGACAACAACCGTTGTGCTTCTGGAAGACGAGTTATCCACAGCAGCCCACAATGCAGCAGAAGGAAGTGAGCTAACTGTTAAAACAAAGTCCTTAATCTAATGCATAAGGGTACAAATTCCAGGCTAAAATGGTTCCATTCATGCTAGCAAAGTCTTGTTTAAGTTGAAGTTTGGTTAACTTATAGAATTGGAAAATTGTGAGAATTCTAGAATCATGTTAGAATTACAGAAGCTAACTTGAACAGAAGTCCAAATAATACTCGAGTTTTGTTTAGAAAATATTAATTTAAACTGTTCTCAATTCTTAAGCATAGTATATTCAAGTTAATATAAAAAACTCCATTGCAATTAAGAAACTCGAGCAATATTTGGCAGATGCCTTTAAAACCTTTAAACCGAACTGGTTCGAACCCTGAACTAGAAATCTTTAATCTTAAATCAAAGCGAATCGTACTTGCTTAAAAAAGAACGTCTTGTCTCGAACCCAGAGCAAACCTTGACCCCCAAAACTTTAGATTTGGAAGCGTCCAGTTTTGGGTTGAGCTCAAATGTAGCCCGCATTTTCTCTATGAAAATATTTACAGCGTTCAATATTTTCAGTGAAGCGGGCAGTTGTATTTAAAAGAAAATTGATAACTTTCATTAAAATGAAGACCCAGTCAAGGCAAAGTTTGGGTTCGAACCGTTAAACGATTTTTCCCATAATCTTCCATTCAAAAAGTTACCATGGCTTGCACTAAAAGTATTGCCATCAAAAGAACTAATCAAAGCTTAATTTATCAAAACTGAAAGTTACATTTTTTTCTTTAATATTGTTCCCTTTCGCGATTTGCCCTGGAATTACCCATATTATATATACTTGCAGATTCTAAGGAAATCGAAATTAACTAAGTCCGAGCTTAAAGACACTTTGATAGGTTTAACTAGCCGAAAGCTTATAGCATTAAGCAATAATCAATTGTATTTTCGATACTTAATGATACTCGTAAAGAAATTACCCGGCGTTGCATGGCTCAAATTAATAATGTTGAAAATATAAGTGTAAATGTTTGAATTCAACGCCAACTTGAGGCGAAAACAAAGCTATTCCAAATACACGAGAGCTAGAGCCCTAAACTTACTCTTAATGAAATTACCCGGCATTGCACGGATCAACTTAATAATGATCAAAAAGCAAGTTTAATCGAAATCGTTTTGTGTATTTAACGCCAAGTTCTGCTTAAATTCAAGGGCAGCTCGATCCCTTAACCTACACTAATAGAAATTACCCGGCATTGCACGGCATACAATATCTGCAAGCATATTCAGCTCTTTGGAATACCAAAGTTAGTTAACTTTTTGATTGCTTTACTATTAACATTCACTTAAGTATTTCACACGCTTGCTACAGCAGCAGCTGGAGGCGGCGCTGGCCACGCAAAAGGAAACGGAGCTGGCTCTGGCAGCAACAGCAGCAGCAGCCGCACCAACATCATCGGGAGCCGGAGGAGCAACAGGAGATCAGCAGCAGCCGCATTATTATCAATATTATTATTCGCAGCCGAAGCAGCTGACAATTGCCTCGTTTCTGCAAAAGGAGCTGCTGCCCGATGCGGACAAGGCCAACCAGCAACAGCAGCAACAGCAGCAGCAGCAACAGCAGCAACAACAGCAACACAAGCAACAGCAGCAATCGGGCGCTTATCAGCAGCGTTATCGCAACGGCAACTACAGCTACAACAACAACAACAACAACAACAACAACAACCACCACAACAACAACAACTATCAACAACAGCAGCATACGCACACACATCATGCACAGCAGCAACATCACAACAATCACATGCACAACACGCACTTTCGCCGCAACAAGAAGCTGCACTACATCAACAGCAACAACGGCAACAGCAGCAGCAGCAGCAGCTGCACGCCAGCAACAGCTGCACAGAATTCAATTGAAATTGTGCCCGTCAGCAATTATAATGGCGCACATCGGCGCATGCAAAATGTTGCTGTCGCTGGCGGTGTTGCTGCTCAAATCAATCATGTTGCCGGCAAGAGCGGCTACTATCAGCTGCAACAGCAGCAGCAACATTATCATCAGCTTATGTCTGGCAGTGGCACGCCCACAAGCGCCGAGCATCAGAATTTCTATAATCTAACCTATGTGAATGTGGACGTAGATGTGCAGCCGTCGGCAGCAGCAGCAGCAGCAGTGACAGCAGCAGCAACTGTTGCAGCAAAGTCCATGCCAGCAGCAACAACAGCTGCAAAGACAGCAGCAGCAACTGTTGCAGCTGCAGCCAATCGCAACATGTTTTTGCAGCCGCCGCCAGCGCTGCAATTGGCCATGTTGGCGCCAGGCATATTATCGCCTGCGGCACTGACGCCGGAGGCGGTGGCTACCACGCCCACAAACATGATAAGCTGCGCGCAATTGGACGAGGCAATAACAGCGGCAGCAGCCAGCAGCACGGCCAACAGCAACAGCAGCAACAGCAACAACAAGAACGTGGAACTCTCCGGCCTGATGACTGTGCCCAGTCCCAGCTTCGCAGCGCTGCCTTTCATGCTGCACCAACAACAACAACAACAACAACAACAACAACAACAACAACAACAACAACAACAACAACAACAGCAGCAACAGCAACAGCAACAGTTGTTCCCAAACAAAGCACAGCAGCAACTCTTCTTTAGCTTTGGCGATGGCTATAACAATGCCGCCGCCGCCGCCGCCTGGTCACATGCCAATTCGCCATGCTATCCGGCGGCCGCTTTTGGTCCAAGTCCGAGCAGCATTTCCAGCGGATCCGGGCACAGTCGCATTCCCTCGCATCGCGCCGTCTCGCCCGCCTCGTCCACGTGCTCGCTGGCAAGCGAGTCGCAATGGAGCAGTCGCAGTCGGTGGGTGTTGCACAATATATTATATAAGCTTTAGTATACCCGGCATACCCTGTAGTTGTATTGTTAAACATGCCCAGTTAGAATACCCTATGCATATATAAGTTCTTGATCCCAAAGACAATTTAAGTCTCGTTTGTCGCATCTTTCTTACAGTTCATATAAAATAATAGAGTATATACCCTGTATACTCTGTCTGCATCGATAATTATCGATGCTTAGCCCAAGTTTTTTGAGCCTATATCACGGCGTTTTGAAGCCAATGATTGTAAATTGAAAACTAAGATTCTCGTATACCCTATACAAAATAAATTAAGTCGGGAGTGCCCGACTGGGAGATACCCTAAACCCAGACTAGGAGATAGCCTTTCCTCATTCCGGAGCTATGCGAGAGTCTACATACTAAATTCTAGATCTGTAACACTCTTAAGCTCCGAGAACAGAATATCGATAAAAATCGTTATCGATTTCATGGTAACAAGATAAGTGATCGATGATTTGCAAGAAACTTGAACTGCATTCCAAATTTTAAGATTCGAACACTTACAATTCTCGAGATCGAGGAGTTTATAAATCCGGAGGACAGACATGGTTGTTAATGCTGATCAGGACTATGTATAAAGATATACTTAATGGGCGCGACGAGAGATCTCCCAACAAAAATATTACACATTTGGTTACTTGATAATTGCCTCTAATATTTATCCCACGCAGATTGACGTCGTCGGAGCTGTTGTCCGTGTCGCCGACGCCGCCAGCCACGGGCACGGGCACTGGCACCGTCGCGAGCAACGTGCCCGCGCCGAGTCAACAGCTGTCGCCACATCTGGGAGGATCGCCGCATGTGGCCGGCATGGCAAATGGCTTGCATGCATTGTTACCGTTTGGTATACCGCCGCCGCCGGCACCAGCAGCGCCGCCGCCGCCGCCACCGCCGCCGATAGCGGGCACACACAATCTGCCCGTGGGCGGGGCATATCCGCATTATTGTGGGCCCAATTGCGGTTGCGGCGGCAGCGCATCCTGGCCGGCATCCTGGTATGAGCTGATCTTGCCGCCGGATCGCTATCTGGACCATGCACGCAACGTGGAGCTGACCATACAGCCGGAGCAGCTGATCTGCCATTGCAAATACGACAATCTGTCGCTGGACATATGGAAACGGTTTCGTGGCGCGCAGCAGACGCATGCCAAGTTCAAGCTGAAGATGCGTCTGTGGCGCTATCTGTTCATCGGCATAAATGTGAGTGTGGCGTAAACAAATGCTGTGCTCAAACGCTTAACATATTTATACTTATAGCAGCTGATGTTCTCGCGCTATCGCATCTGTTTGGTCGGCTCGACCATTACCGGCTTTGGCACGGACTCCTCGGACATCGATATGTGCCTGTTGCCGGAGCAGCAAACGCATCAGCAACAGCAGCAGCAGCAGCATCATTATCACAACGAGCTGCGCGCCGAGGCACTCATGATACTCAATCTGTTCAATGCTGTCCTCAAGGAAATGGGCAAGTGCCACACAAGTTAGCGCATGACTAGTCCAGCTTAAGCCTACGATTAATCTCTGCTTAACGCGCTTTAAAGCTCACTTAATACTGAAAAGCTATTTAAATCTAATTAGTATTTGTAACTTACTCTTAAAGCTCATGACATGCTAGAAAAGATCTTGTAGTTCTTGTTAAACATTTCCTTTAAAAGCTAGTCCAAGAAGCTTTTACTCTAAAGCTCACTAAATGCTAAAAAGCTCTTCGATTCTATATAAGAATTTGTAAATTACTCTTAAAGCTCATGGCATGCTAGAAAAGCTCTTGTAGCTCTTGTTAAACATTTCTTCTGAAAGCACATTGAAAGCTTGTCCAAGAAGCTTTTACTTAAAGCTCTTTGATTTTAAATAACTCTTTGTAAATTACTCTTAAAGCTCATGAAATGCTAGAAAAGCTCTTGTAGTTCTTGTTAAACATTTCGTTTGTAATATACCCAATTTGTCAAGCTTGAAAGCACATTGAAAGCTAGTCCAAAAAGCTTTACTACATTAGATTGCTTTGTTATTGTGTCACATTCTCAACTGCTGTAGCTTTTAAGCACATGAATAGCACAAAAGCTTTTTGCTAAAGCTTTACATTTAATCGTATGTTTAGCTGATTTCAAGCAACAATTATCAAATGCTTATTAATGACCCCATCTTATTGCAGAAGCTTTTCAGGATTTCAATTTAATTGAGGCACGTGTCCCGATCCTGCGCTTCAAGGATCGCATCAACGGCATCGAAGTCGATCTCAACTATAACAATTGTGTCGGCATCAAAAACACATATTTGCTGCAATTGTACGCGCAATGTAAGTACTCAAAAAAGATTTTACAAATAATTCCACAGAGAAGTAAGTTCTACTATAAATCTGATATGTCAGAGATAACTCCATAGCTGAGAAGTCAAGAGTCATTTACTAATTGAAACAGCATCTGCAACCCAATAAACTGTGTGTATATTTTTGATCAGCATCAACTTAGCGGTTCCTTTGTTTAAGCAAGCAGATCTCAGAGACTATAAAAGCTAGAGATTCCCATTTTTGTGTATAGATTTTCATGCAGGTAATCGTGATAACTAACTTCAAGTATCGATCAATATGTAATTATCTGTTTAAAAAAATGTATTTATCGATAACTCAGCCTATCTTAAAATATCGATTAATACGTAATTTGTCAATTTTTTCAAAATAGATGAGTTATCGAAAAGTAAGCCAGACTTGCGCCCACCTTTTTTTTGTCATATCTAGAGATAACAATTTATTGCTCACCAAATCCGGCATATAGCACTTGAAGATTGAGAAAACATTTCTGATAAATCGCCCGTATTTCAACAATCGATTTTTATCGATTACATTCAGAGATTTTGTATTTTACGAAACCAAATCATCTAGTATTATCTAGTTCAAGTTAATTTGTTCGATAAGTCACTTGATTTTTATAAATCGATAAATATCGATTATTAACTTCAGCTTTTTGAGCATATTCTGAGTTAACAATTTATTTGACACCAAAATGCGCATTTAGTTTTTCGTAACACAATCGAGATCATGATAATTTTTGTACAAAATCGATAAGTATCGATTAGTGTTTGTTATCTATCGATAAATACAGGGTATCTTTTAACCGTAAAATTGTTGTGTGTTCACCTCCATTTTTGCAGTGGACTGGCGCACCCGGCCGCTTGTGGTCATCGTGAAGCTGTGGGCGCAATATCACGATATAAACGATGCCAAGCGGATGACCGTGTCGAGCTACTCGCTGGTGCTGATGGTGCTGCATTATTTGCAGTATGGCTGTGTGCCGCACGTGCTGCCCTGCCTACAGGCGCTGTATCCCGATAAGTTCAATTTGGGGCAACAGGAATGCCTCGATCTCGATCTGATAGAGCCCATCGAGCCGTACCAGACGCACAACACACAGACCCTGGGCGAGCATCTGTTGGGCTTCTTCAAGTACTACAGCAACTTTGAGTGAGTGTGAGGAATGAAGAGAGAAGAAGAAGATCAAGAGAAATATGTATTTGTATATAATGCTTACAGCTATCGGAACAATGCCATATCGATACGGACCGGCGGCATTTTGCCGGTCAGCGCCTGCCGTCTGGCCAAGAGTCCCAAGAACGACATGCACCAATGGAAGGAGCTGAATATTGAAGGTGAGCTGTTCGCTAATCTATATCGATTTGACAATTCAATTTGATGTCGATCACTGCTTCAATTTGCCAGAACCCTTCGATCTGTCCAATACGGCGCGCTCCGTCTACGACTTTGCGACCTTCGAGCGTGTCAAGGCAATATTTGTAACGACGGCGCGTCGACTGGAGCACACACTGGACTTGGCCTCCATCTTTACGCCCATCCATTATACCCAACGGCCAATGCCCATGCACCATCAGCCCCTGCTGCATCTCCACCCGCATCCCGCCCACAACAATCATCCATCAGCCCATCAGCATCTGCTGCACGCCCGCAACTCCGCCACGACGGCGCCATCCAAGCTGGTCACAGCGGGCAGCTATGCGGCGCCGCCTGCCTCGCATCTGGTTTAGGCATTGCGACGCATCCAAAGTGTGCGGCATCTCTGGACGATTTGCCTGCTTGTCAGTTCGCCAGGCATTTCATACAACCCACAGGTCAGTTGTAGCTGCAAACTAGGTACGAATCTCAGGTTTAGTTTCAGCTAGAGAAAGGTTTAGCTATGTTTTGTATAGAACCCAAACAGTCAGAGCTGTATATTATAATCTAATCTGTTAGTGCACACTAGAACAATTCATTGCAGACGTGCTCAACACTGTTCAGAAAAACTCAACCAACTGACAAATGGGCACTTGTAGATCACTTCCGATTTAAAGCTTATATTCAAAGATTTACATGCAAAATTTATTCAAAATTCAAACACGCATTTCACGGATTTTAACAAATTCACTCGCAACATCGGAAAATGAGCGGAAAACGCAAATGTCAGCTGATCAGTGTCTGACTTTGAAAGTTCTTGTTTTAAACCCAATATATTCTTATTGCCCATTTTCAAAAGGATTCAGGACATAAAAACGTAGAGCAGAAAATCTAGCTACATATATGGAAAATGGGGGACTTAAAGTTCTATGGCTTAGTCTGAAGATCCTAGCTAAGGTACTTTCCAACAGTTTATGTAGAGTATCAAGAATTCTCAATTGATGTCATATTATGTAAAATACATAGCAGAAATCAGAGATCATAGATCGTGCAAGGGTTTAAAATGCCAAAAAAAAAAATAACTCGAAAGAAACTTTCTGGCTTAAGGATAATTATATAGATAATTAGATAAATTCAAGCTATTTATGCTCAGAGCTAAGGCTAGGCCGATTCGGTTCAAGACTGTTTATATAAAAACGATGTTATCTATCACTGGCAAGTCCAGGAAGATATAACTGTGATATGAATAGAGACTCTGTCGATGTAAAAACTTATCTAGAATAATATTATTAATGCTTGTATCCACGACGTGCGCAGTTAATTGTATAATATGTAATTATTGATATTAGATTAGAAATGCCATAAGTTTTTTTTTTCTGAACCCATTAAAAATGGGTATAAGGGTATATTGTATTTGTGCAAAATCCAAATGTATGTAACAGGCAGAAGGAAGCATCTCCGACCCCATAAAGTATATATATTCTTGATCAGCATCAATAGCCGAATCGATCTAGCCATGTCCGTCTGTCTGTCCGTTCGTCCGTCCGTATGTATGAACGCAAGGATCTCAGGACCTTTAAGAGCTAGAGACTTGAAATTAGATGTAGATGCTCCTAGCTCCCGCGCAGATCGAGTTTGTTTCCGATAATCGATAACTTACTCCGTTTTCAAGCAATCGATAAAAATCGATATCGATATCCTGTTTTTAGGGCAATTTTGGTAAATAATAAGAGCTACCAAACTTGATATATAGCTTCTAAAATAGAATATATATATGCAGTTGATGTTGGAAGAAGAGGGACCAGGGTATCCCCTAGTCGGAAGCTCCCGACTAGAACCTCTTACTTGTTTTTTTTTGAGCAAATTCGAATGTCATTTAAAAATATATTAACAAATAGCTGTGCACTCAAAATATTGCAAAGATCTCTGAGAGAGTTTAATACAAATTCAAGCAATCCATCCAAATATAATATAATATATAATATGCATCTCTTACAGACCTCACACGCAAATGCAAACATGTTCATCAAAAAAAAAAAAACAAAAAACAACTCATCAAAATTAAATAATAATGAAAAAATAATGATTGTAAAACCTTTTTGGCTACAAGTTTTCCCAGTGCATTTTGTAAATTCAAATTCAATCACACCGAGTTTGGATACCCTTTCAACTACACACACACACACACACACACTTATATATATATATAATTCCTGTCCAATGTTCGCTATTTAAATTATATCAAATCGTAGCCCATGTCAATGTTATTGTTAAGTTTCCTCTTCTATTTCCTTTCCTTTTATCCGATCGCAATTATTGTAAGCATGCCAAAAAGTGCATGCATTTCCCGCTTTGGCTAAGACAGTTGGAAAATCGAATTCTGAAAATGTGAAAAATGTGTTAATAAGAGTTGGAAAAGCCCAACCATCATATACAGTGTACAACACATCCAATGTCGCATAATATTAATTCACACAACAAATAAATAGAAAATGCAAACTTTCGTTTAAAAAATTGTTCAACAAATTAAATGAAATTCTTTATGCCGAACTCATTCAGAACTTGTTTATTTTCTTTTTCAATTTTGGTTGGAAATAATCACAATTTTTACGTATGTGCGGAAATATCCATTTTCTTTCTGGGGTTCTTTTTTTTCATATTTTATTTAGTTTTTTTTTCTTCTTTTTTTTTATTGTACTTGAGTCTGTGTTAACAAATTAGCTGGCAGGGTTGAGGGGGAGGGGGGAGGGGGCTGAGCTTTACAAAAATGTTCCAATGTTTTTCTTTTTGTTTAAGGTAAATCCAAGACTATTGAAATATATAAATATGTCGAAATTCATAAATGAAATCCATATTCAAGCCGTGTCAAATATGTTTTCAACTGCTCGCCACCAGAGGGCGGTAATTTTTTAATAAACATATACACACACACATAACTATATATTTGTATATATTTAGGTATTTAAAAAATCTTGAATTGTTTCAATTAAACAATATTTAAAATGAGTTCGAATAATGTTTTCCGACAACAAAAAGAAAAGAATCTCCAAACACTTGCAATTATTAAAATATTGTGTTCCGGCCGCCGCTAGAGGGCGCCACAATGCAATTTCAAATGTTTGGAAATATTTGTGGGGCATATATATATATATATATGTATATAATTTTTTTTTTTGCACTTTCGAAAACAGAAACAAATGGCACTCGCATACAATTAACAAAAACGTTCCTTGGAAAAATACAACAGTGGCAAAATGTTGGTTTAGTTAAGTGGAAAAATTCCAAAACTCGAAATAAGCCAGACAAAAACACAAAAAAAAAAAAAATAAAAAAAATTCCATTCTGAAAAAAAAAATAACAAAAACGGGTCTAGGTTGTTTTGCTGTCCTTTTTCCTCAATACCACTTTTGTTAGGGCTGGGTTTGGGGTTAGGGGGAGGTAACTGAAGCGGCATCATTCCGCGCATTAATTCGTCGTCAATTTAGAACCTTCTGCTCTTGGTTTTTTTCGCGTGTCAAAGAAAGAACGAAACATGGCGTCTCGACGTTGTCTCCAGCAACGATTGCATCTGCAGGCGCAGTCCGCGTCTGGCGCTGTCTGGCCGCCTCCGCCGCCGCCGTCGCCCGCTCGCCCGCTCGCCCATCTGGCTGCATTCAAAGCCTGCGCATGGCTGAGCTGAAGCTGGGAGCTAGACAAAAAAAAAAAGTGTGCCCAGCTAACATCTGTTGGCCACATGTGTGAGTGTTGTTTTGCCTGTGTGGCCGCCGCAGCTGCTGCTTCTTTCTCTTTTACTGATGCCGCTTCTATACATCCATTGCTTTTTCTCTCTCTCTCTCTCGCTCGCTCTTTCTCGTTGTCGCTAACGCTCTCTGCTTTAACTGTGCCTAGGCTGTTTGCCTGCTCGCTTCTGTGTGGCCGAGTTTAACTGTTTCATAGACTTTTTCCATGCTGCTTTTTCCATTTTGCTTGCCTCTGCGTCTTCCTTTTGTTGCTCGTTCATATTGTTGTTGTTGTTGTTGCTGCTGCTGCTGTTGTCGCTGTCGCTGTTGTTGTTTTTGTCTAATCGCCGCTTGCTAACTGCTGCTGCTGCTGCCGCCGCCGCTGACGCTTTCGCTGCTGCCGCCGCCGCCGCCGCCGCTGCTGCTGCTGCTGCTGCTGCTGCTGCTGCTGCTGCATGATGGCTTCAAAGTTCTTACAATTTGTTTGTTGTTTAGTTTGTTGTGTTTGTTGTTGTAAATTGTTGTTGCAATTGTGCGCGCCTCCTCAAGCATCTCAGTAAGGTTGCGAAAATTGGTTCAAACTGCGTTCGCCCGACTGCGAATATGAAAAAGAAAAAGGGAACAAAAAAAAGAAAACGACTCTCGTTACTTTCAAAATCGCAGCGAAATGTTCTTAATCATAACTAGCTAAAAAATATTTTAAAATATATCCAGTAGATTTTACAAATGTTACTCGTTAGTTTAAGTTATATTTAAATCAATTAGATGTTATTCGCATGATACTCGTTAGTAACGAGTTGGGTTAAGAATGTGACATACTCGTTAGCATAGAGCAACGAGTTCTCGGCCTAAATTACCTATTGCAGTCTAAACAGTAGAGTTAAAATTGCAATTATAGACTTAAATTGACATATCTTACTCGTTGGTGTGCTGCAAGTAAATCAAATTAAGATTTAACGAGTTGATTTAAGAATATTATATACTCGTTAGTATAAAACAACGAGTGCTTGCCTACTCGTGCCTACAAAGCAGAGCTATAGTTAATATATAAAGACGTAAACATATCTACTCGTTGATTTTCAACGAGTTGACTTAAGGATGTGACATACTCGTTAGCTCAGAGCAACGAGTTTTTGTCTCAAATTAGCTACTACTCACTATAAAGTGAACATATAGACTCAAATTAACATATCTGGCTCGTTGCTATGCTGCAACTTAATCAACTTGCTTTTCAACGAGTTGATTCACACTCGTCACAGCAAGCTTAGCATGCAATATGCTGAATGATTCATATCTTAAATAACTTAGAAATATTAGAAGAAAGTAAAAAGTATCAAATTGAAATATATAATGATTCTACTTAAAATAAGTTGACTCGTTAGTTTGTCGCGAACGAATTCAAATTGATTTACAGCCAATTTTGTGGATTTGAAAATGATTTGTTTAAAGAGCAGCAAATTGTCTTAACCAAAAACTACTCGTTACAACAATAACTATTTACTCGCTGGTAAAGAGCAAACGAAAATGCAAGAAATTGAATGTTAAATAAATAAATTACTCCATTTTGTGAGCTGGAAATATGCTTGTATAACGATAAAGTACTCGTTAGTTTTGGCAGCAACGAGTTGAACTTGAATTATAACGAATTGACTTAAACATAAATTAATCGTTAGTTGATTTATTTCGCTAACTAGTACAATATATAGATGAAGTTACATATATTATTCAGATAATATATATATTCACGATAATTGAAACATTCGTTACGAATACCGAATACCTTCAAATATTGTGAATTGCGGTATTCACAGTTGCATAAGTTCTTTGTCTCTCGTCGTAAATTTACTTGGAGTTCTTCAATATATATTCTCGATTCCAAGCTCTCTCTCTCTCCCTCTCTCTCTTTCACACTCTCGCCCTCTGTTTCTCACTCTCTCTCTCTCTCTCTCTCTCTCTCTCTCTCTCTGTCTTTGACACTCGCTAGAAGAGCTTGCGCGCAGTCGCTTCGTGCTTGCGATTGAGACTGTAAGGACTTACCACATTGAAGGCGACATCCTGGGAGAGCAGTCCATCCATTTGCGAGATCTGGCCAAAGTCCTGCGACAATTCCGGCTGCTGGGAGAGCGCAAATCCGCTCGGCTGTGTCATTTGCAGCGACAGAGCCGTCGGCTGTTGGCTGAACGGAGTCGCTCCGATTGCTGCACTTGCTCCAGTTGTTCCTGTTCCAGCTGTTGCTGCGCCAGCTCCAGCATGAACATTGCCAGCGCGCACCTTGGACAACTTGCCGCTCTTCTTGCCACCCACAATGGGCGGCATATAGCCCGCCTGATTCTGCTGCTGCTGCTGCTGTTGTTGCTGCTGCTGCTGCTGCTGCTGTTGTTGCTGCTGCTGTTGCATGGCACGATTCTGCTTGGCGGCCATGATTGCCTGCTGATGCTGATTGTAGAAACGCGGCGGAAGATTGCTCATGTTCATGAACATGCCCACGGGCACCGGCATGTTGCCCAAGGCGGCGGCGCCATGATCATTCGATATATACCCAATCGAATCGTGCAGATGGCTGGCCGTCCAGCTGGCGGGATTGGCAACGCCACCGCCACCACCAGCACCGCCGCCGCCAACGCCGGCAGGATTGGTCATGCTGCCGTAATTGTTATTGCCATTGCCGGCACCGTAGCCGGCTACATT